GCTTCCCAATCATTAAAAATTAATGAGAGAGAGGTAGTCATAGCCATATCTCAAATTGTCAAATCATCAACTTCTGCAAGAAAAAATTAACAATTGTGTCAAACACAAGGACAAGTAAGTGGAGAACATGGGCATATCAAATAATACCATTACAAATATTTAAATACTAATTATAGTTTGGCAAAATACGGTATTATCAAACAACTGAACAAGATAGTTAAAAGATGGTTCAGGTCTTTCATTAAGAAATGAAAAACATCCTTTCAATCAAGTGTGCAGTAAATCTTCTATCCCTAAAAAATTGTTTATTCATCTTTCAGTACTTTTAAGATTCCACTATTAATTTAATGACGTTATATGTTACGAATGCAGCCTGAGAACATGAGAACAGTTAGTAAAGAATATTGTATAAGCATATCAGAGCTGTATGCATATATGCTAATGGAAAAATGTGGACATCTTCGTAGCATGCATGAGAACACGTAAAAACATGCAACATCAACAGAAAATGTTCCTTCACCCCTCATAAAACACACCAAACCATAGAGATCAGAGAGATAGGAAGCAGAACAAGCCACTGGATATTCCTTCTCTATGCTTTATGATGTTTCCTTTTCTCCTACTTTTTTCTAAATGATGCTTAATCATCATTGAGACAAAAAGGAAGAATATATGCTTCCCTTTACAGTAAATCTGGTTTCCTGCAACTTCTTGTGACCCTTAGAGGAGTGAAGGGGCCTAAAATCAAGGACCACATATATCAGTCAGGTATATTGTTAACTCAGATGCCACAGACTAATCACCAGAAAAAAGAAAAAATAATTTTATATAGTTTCAGAAAAACATAGATAACTTTGAAATAGAAAATATATAATGTGCCTATAAGCTCATATTTCTAAGGCCAGATAGGAACTCATAAAGAACCTTATGACAGTACCTTTCTCTCAGTATCATTAGTCCTTTAAGATTCTGCCTCCTATATTTTCTTATAGGGTTCAAAGGAATTATTATTTCTTAAAATATTTCCAACCGGATTGACAGAAACAAGATGACACATCTCACTTGCAGCCTACAAAGAATTGGATAAGCTAAGAATATGCTATCTGCAGGGAAATGCAATACTTTTTCCCGGCCTACAAATGAAGATTGAATTTTGGAACTGTTCATCAGCGCAAAAATGGACATTCAGGTTCCGGTAGGATGCATTACTGGGCAACTCAACTCTGGCAATTTGTTCCTCTAGGCTGCTCATAGGTTGGCTTATGAGACAGGAATCAGGAGTAATCTTACTGCCAAAGGAGATTTGCCCAGTAATTCAGCTGTACATGCTTCTGTCAATTTGATATGCAGAAATTCATGGTACTGCTTCCTAAAGAAAGAATCTACTATATACTAATATCCTTTTACTTCCTTATATACCCCAGCATGCATTGAAATGTTCAACTAGGTTGATGTTGCTTAAAATTGAAAGATTTTAGGAAAAGAGGTTACTACCTCTTGATGACTAGTTTGAAAGGGCTCATATTTTGAAGTATTGCTTGTAAGGTTGTAAAAAGATCATGCAAATGGGATGAAAAGAAAGTTACCTCCCATTCGATTAAATTCTAATGCTCAATTTTTTTCTTTCGTATATGTTCTCAGCACCAAATGATGCCTAACAGATATAGCAGTTGAAAAACAAAATGGCAAAGTCAACTAAGTCCCTATGTAGTATACAAGCTTTTTGGAGAAATAACTAGATTTGCTGATCCAGCTAATTAAACTCTACCTTCCTTTCAGACAGAATGCTAAAAGACACACAGAAAATGAAACTGAAGTATTCTATCTGTAGAATATTTAGGTAGGAAAACAAATATCAGTTCGCGTGTTTCGAAAGCAATCAGCTTCTTTAAGTTTTCTGTTTTCCAGAATAATAACTAGGAACATATTATACAAGTTGAAGGTTCAGCAATTCTGATATGCAATTGACTTCCTTCCTGCTTTAATGGAAAAAGTAAATACAGTTATCTTGGATAAAGAAAGACACAAGGAAAAACAAAGGCAAGGATAAAACGCTTAAGAGTCTCTTCCCATCTACATTATTGCTATGCAGAGAAGCTTTGCCTGCCCTAGGTTGGGATAATTAATCAAGATTTCAATTAATGATCGCAAGGGAATTGAAGTAATTAAAAGGTGAATAATATCATAAATCAGCATTACATCAGAGGTATAGAAAATCATATTGATTTCTAGTGGTTCAAAACCTCACTTCATTGGTTTATTTCAGCCCCAGCTCAAGGAAGATATTCACCTAACCATGAAGAGAACATAAGAAAGAAAACAATCATTGCTTGGTATACCAAACACTTGTTCACCGAAAAACTCTTAAATTCATAATATATATGATAAACAGATACCAGGGAGGCAAAGATAGAGGCAAAAGAAAAGAAAATATGAGCAACTTCTTTTATTTCTTTTTGGCTGATAAGAAGTATGGAATTCTTTTACCAAATTCAATCTAAATAAACAGAACCATTCTCCTGCTCTGCTGATTTAGAAGTAAATGGATCGCCAAGAACAGATACCATACATAGCCTTTTTCCTATCTTAATCAAGGAAAAAGCTGCTGCTGCATCTAATAACTTATTACCTTGTTCTTGATTACCATTCTCTTAGAAAGTTGTTAAAACTGAAGAAATTGGCATTGACCGATCTATTCCAATAACAACAAGAAATTATAGAAAGCTAAGCATAAAGATAATTATTAGACAAAGGTGCTTTTGCTATGGAGGGCCTCTTGATGCAATCTTTGTCACTTCCAGTTGCGCTTTTCCTCTCTTAGACTAGTCAATACCATGAACTTCTCCTCTTTGCCTGCCAATTTAAGAAATAAAATGAACATTAATTAGAGGGACAATTGAGTAGAAATCCTCTGACAAAGGGAGCCATGAGTTTAGGAAATAAAGGAATAACAGTTTTTGTTGTCTTAGCAACTAATCGAGAAGTGTACTATAGAAATGGTAACTGCAGGAGTGAATGGCAGGGCAATTCTCCTTTGGCAAAACAGAAGACGTGTACAGAAGTCATGTATGCCATGTCTTCTATGTGCCAAAGGAGGATCGCACTGTTATTCCTCAACCGCACATCTGTGTTTTCTTCCATCACATGGTCAAGTAAGCACAGTAATTCAAGAAGCCTCTTTATATCACAAATGATTCGCATCTGGATATGGATATGCTAGAAGAATTCATATTCGGGTTCCTTTAATGCTAATGGATTTATGGTCCCGTTATTTTATTTTAACACAATTGATTCTGTGCTATAGAAGAGCGTTAGGATCACGATAGCTTTTATACCATTTATTAGGCAATAAGTCTCTAATTAATTGAATATTCATGCAGTAATTTAACATAATTTGTCTCAATTGACTTACGTCTATGAATAAGAAAAAATATTCAAGTTGCAAACAATTACAAACATATCAATAAATCAAACACTCAACAATTAATACCCATAAACCCTCTTAATCTCTTTTAATTTTATGGAGTATTCTCAATTCAAACAAATACATACCCACATTTACTTATGCAACATATCTATATTGATCATCTCATTCTTCTTTAGTTCACTCAAATACACACACCTATAAAAATAAACTCCTATAATCCTATAAAATATCTATTCTATAAAATCATATAACTCTCTTACTTCTTTTTCTCATACATAATTTTATAAAAACTCCACCTATTTATAAGTATACTAACTTGGTTATCAAGAATCGTTTTTCTTTTAGAATTCTTCTCTTAGAAGTCTTCTTGTCCATTAAGCAATATCTTGCTAATCTTAAACAAATCTCTTATACGAATTAAGTTATTATTTCCAACAACTTGACTCAAATTCTATCAAATCATTGGTTTTCATGCTAGACATGCATAGTTTCACCTATAATAGAAGTTTTTTAATAATATTCTTTGTGTGTCTTCATGCAAATTGATCGTCAAAATACGAACTCAAACTTTTTACTTTAATCAAGCTCTTCTAAGTTTGTCTTTTCTCACATTTTGAATTTTTAACTTTGATATAACTTGTTAGATAAAAAAACCCCAAATCAGTTAAACATCCACTGTAGGAGAAGCATAATTAAATAATTGATCAATCACATAAGAAACAATAATTTAACGTGGCTTGTTGATGCTAAAGGGAACAAACTAGAAAAATTTTCACAAATCTTCAGGGAAGTGGTATCGTTCTTCCAAAAACTTATTCGTACACCAGATAAGGGAGTTAAAGTTTGTTCACAAGAATTCTTAACTGAACTTCTTCAAGCTTCAATATCTTCTGCGGATCAAGATGCACTCATAAGTCTAGTGTTGAAAGAAGAAAGCAAAACTGTCATATTCTCTATGAATAGTGAAAAAGCTCCTGGTCCTGATGGATACATAGCCCATTTCTTCAAGCAATCTTGGTCCATTGTTGGTGATGATGTTACAAATGCTATATTGCACTTCTTTCAAATTGGGCATATACTTTATGCATATAACTCAACCATTATCACATTAGTTCCAAAGTGTGCAAATCCAAGCAGGATTAGAGATTACTGGCCCATATCATGTTGTACTATCATTTATAAGTGCATTACCAGGATTTTGGCAAATAGGCTTAAAAATATCCTGCCAAATATCATAAGCAAAAGTCAAAGCACTTTTATGAAGGGAGGAGCATCACAGATAATGTGTTTATGGCACAGGAGATGGTAAAGGGATATGGTAGAACCACATTATCCCTAAAGTGTGCTATAAAGATTGATTTGTAAAAGGCTTTCAATACATTGGATTGAAATTTTATCCACAACATTTTGGCAGCCATTGGATTGCCTTCAAAATTTATAGGCTGGATCAACAATTGTATTACAACCCTAATGTTTTCTATATCGCTTTAATGGAGGGCTAGTAGGCTATTTTCATGGTGTTAGAGGAATAAGGCAAGGGGGTCCACTCTCCCCATATCTATTTGCTCTAGCAATGAATGTGTTGTCAAGAATGCTAGATGAAGCTGCCAAGTTTGAAGTGCTTGCCTATCATCCTAAATGCAAGAAGATCAAGCTAACACATTTATGTTTTGCGAACGATTTGTTGATTCTCACAAAGGGAAACAAGGATTCAATCATTGGTGTCAAGGAGGTTATGCAAGCTTTTTACTTGTTCTCAGGGTTGCAACTAAATTACGAAAAGAGTGAGATATATGCCACAGGAATAGGCATGGAAAAGATCCAATCAATTCAACAAGCCACAGGATTCAAAGTAGGCTTACTCCTTGTCAGATACTTAGGATTCCCATTAGTCACTAGAAGACTCACTGTAAAAGATTGTGCTCAATTGCTTGAGAATATTACAGCTAGGATTAAAAGATGGACTAATAAGTACTTACCTTATGCTGAAAGATTACAGCTAATCCAGTCAGTACTCTTCAACTTACACAATTATTGGTGTAAATATTTTATATTGCCTAAGCATGTGTTAAAAAAGATCAATCAACTCTGCTCTAATTTCTTTTGAAAAAGTAAAAAAAAGGACTGTTAGAGGAGCTAAAGTCAGTTGGGATGTCGTTTGCCACCCTAAGTCTGAAGGAGGGTTGGGTATCAAAAACACAATAACTTGGAACAAGGCATTCATGATGAGGAATATTTAGTCTATTTTTTCAAAAGCAGGATCTATATGGATAGCTTGGATTGAAGCTTATATCTTGAAAGGCAGAAGTATATGGCAAGTTCAACCACAGCAAAGTAACAGTTGGGGCTGGAGGAAATTACTTCAACTTTGAAGTATTGCACGTCAATTCATAAAACAAAAAAATGGTATTAAGGTATGGCTTATCCCTAGCATTGGTTATTCTATTGCAACAGTTTGGAATGAGATAAGGTCTAAGCAACGAAAGGTTGAGTGGCACAAATTAATCCGGTTTCAATATCATATCCCAAAGCATTCAATGATTGCATGAATGACTATACTAAATAGGCTTCCAACAAAAGATAGATTGAGAAATTAGAGAATGGAGGTGGATGAAAGATGCTGCCTATGTCAACATGGGAGGGAATCTAGAGACCACCTATTTTTTGGTTATGAATATGCAACAATAGTGTGGATAAAGGTATTACAATCATGCAAGATTGACAGAGTAGTCGGGGAGTAGAAAGAAGAATTGAAATGGGCAATTAGAACGATAAAAGGTAAGGCATTGATATCAGTAGTATTGCGCATTGCTTGGAATGCTCATATATACTATATATGGAGAGAAAGGAACCACAAATTATTCAAGAATAAAGAAAGAACAGAAGAACAAGTATATGAGCTGATTAAAGAAGTTGTTAGGACTCGATTACATGAATTGCATTCGATTACTACTGACCCAGTCAATAAGATTTTGTGTGATGCATGAAATATAGATAAAGCTATATTACATAATAGTTAGAATATGATTTAATTGTATATATTGAGTGTATGTACTGTAGCAATTTTATTGCTTCTTTTGGATAAATAAAATATAATTTATCCAAAAAATAATAATTTAACATGATTTGATCTAATTGATCTACATCCACGAAAAAAATAAAAGATCCACTGGTTATAAAAAATTATAAACATATAATCTCAATCAAACACTCAACAATTAATACCCATAAACCTTTTCAATTTTCTCTAATCTTATAAAGTATTCTCAAACCTAAATAAATACATATTCATGTGTACTCATACATCATACTTATATAGACTATCTTATTCGCTTTTAATTCACTCAAATATATACACACATAAGACCGTTAATCTCATTTAGTCTTATGAGGTGTCTACCTAATAAAACCCTATAACTTTTTTTATATATTTTTCTCATACATGATTTTATAGAAACTTCATCTATTTATAAGCATACAAACTTGCCTATCAATAATCCATTTCCTTTCAAAAAAAAATTTTTTGCACAATTTATTATCAATCAATTAATATATAGCCAATTTCAAACACATCTATTATATAATTTGAGTAACTATTTCTAATAATCTTTATCTTAACTCAAATTTTGTCAAATCATCATTTTTCATATTAGATATACTTGGCTCTACATATAATGGAAGTGTCATAACAATTTATCTTGTGTCTCCACATTTCACTCAAATCGATTCTCAAAACATGAACTCGAACTCCACCATTGAATCAAACTCCTCTAGCTTACCTTTTCTCATGTTTCAAACCTCAAACTCTTATATCACTTGTTAGGATTACGACAGCTCTAATATCACTTGTTAGATAAAAAACTCCTAATCAATTAAACATTCACGCTAACGAAAGTGAAATTAAATGATCAATTAACTACATAAAAGATAATAATTTAATGTGATTTGACTTAATCGACCTACATCCATAGATGAGAAAAAAATTCACTAGTTATAAAGAATTACAAATATATCAATAAATCAAATACTCAATAATTAATACCTATAGACATTTTTCAATCTCTTCTAGTCATATAGAGTATTCTCAACTAAATAAACACATGCCCATGTGTACTTATACACTAGATCTATATGTATCCTCTTATTATTTTCTAGTTCACTCAAACATACACACTTATAAACATGTTAATCTCCTATAGTCCTATGGATGTCTATCCCATAAAACTTTATAACTTTATTAAATTTTTTCTTATATCTAATCTTATAGACATTTCACCTATTTATAAACATACTGACTTGCCCATTAAAAAATTTTTCCTCTTAAAAATTTTTTATAAGTTTTCTTATCAATCAAGTAATATCTAACGAATTTAAAATAAATCTTTTATAGAATTTGAATTACTATTCTAAACATGGAGAGCATTCTTCTCATTAAATAAAAGAATTACATGCTATATTATGGGCCAAAATTTGTTCGAAAGGTGAAGATAATCTTATTTATCAAGAAATGTTGTCACACCCCGAGATTGAAATATAACACGATCATATTATCTTGAAGTAAAATCTCAAAGTAATATGAAGGTTTTTTTTTTCTTTTTCATTCTAAAATTCTTTAATAAAATAATTTGTTCAAAAAAATTCGCAACTTTAATTCAACTAATGAAAATTTTTCATATTCCCAAATGCAAATTAATAAAAATACTAAACTACTTCATAAGAGTTTACTAGCCAACAATGTCTCAAATGTTAGAGTAATCTTTTCGATCTTCTAGTTTCTCACATAACTAAGCAAACTTATCACTTATTCATTTGTAAAGAAAAAGCAAATGAGGAATGAACAAATCACAGTTCAGTAAGTATAGACTACACACCTTACCGGATCAAGCATCATTTTTATGCATATCATATATATCATTCAAAACATTCGTCAAATCATATGTCAAAATATTTCAAAGATCATTATTGTATCAAACATTTTGCAAATTCATAAATCAATATCAAAACATATCAATTCATAAATCATTACAAAATATGCTACCATTCAAATATCATAATCAAACCAAATCATATATGAATCTTTAAAAATTATCGTAAATCATCTTCATATACAAATCATGGATCAATCTTTAAAAATACCATAAATCATCATCATCATCATAAATCATCATTATCATTCGTTTATCGTTAGTTACAGTCACTATTATAATCCATGACATTCACCGTATCGATAATTTTATCTTTATGATTATTGCTAACTATTATAATCCGCTAGTTAGGGCCTTACGCTATAACCCATTAGCAGGATCATATAATCATGGCTATGCTAACTACTATAACCCATTAGTCAGAGCCATAGAACTAGTTCTAGTGTCGAAGATCCCACTTTCTAGGGATGTAAAAACATAACTATCATAAAATCATTCTTTAAAAATAAATTATTTTATTATTTAATTCATAAGTATGATCCATCATTTACATAGCAAAAGTATAAAATAATCATATGTTTGATCTTATTTTCATACATCAAAAATAAAAAAGAAAACCTTCATTCATTTAGAAATATACTTATACATATAGATTCAAAAACAAGTAAAATATGTGAGATTTTACTTACCTCATTTTGATTCCATCAGTTAGTTTTTTGCCTAAAATACTTAATAGCCTATTCAAGATAATTTCAACATAACAGAAATTAATCAATCCATTTTGATATCAATTATACAAAAAATAATTAAGTTAAATAGGAATTAACTTAACTAATTAATACTAATAACTTGAGCTCCTTTCAGTAAAATAGCCATGTCTAAATATATTCAACTCGAAATTAAGATCTTTTTAATGCGTTGAAACTAAACTTGATAAGCTTTTTAACCATATAGCATATCTCGTTATTCTTTATAGATTAATTATAATAATTTTTACAATCCACATTATATGCTACTTTAGACACCATTTTATTATTATTTTTTAATTAATTAATTAATTTTTTTTTGTAACGGCTCTGACAGTCGACTACAGCTATGTTGCTAGTAGCCCTGACAGCCACCAGTAGCTGTTCTAATAGTCAGTGGCTGCCTTAATCATAGGTGATCAAAATCTCAAATTTTTTGAGATTTTGATCTTCATTTTGCTTTGTAAATAGAGCTACAAAAACACCATCAAAGGGGACCCGACAAAAAAAAAGGTTTTCAAAATAAAAAAAATCTTTCTGCCAAAAACAAACCAAACAAAAAAAATACACAGTCCTCATCGTAGAGAGGAACCATCAACGCCAAGCCCCTGCAACAAAAAATCAAAAAGTCAATTTTGGTTTATATAAAAAAAAAGGAGAAAGAAGGGAAACCGAAACTTTAAGCCATGATCTTACGTCGATTAGGGCTGTTTCTAGTGAAAACGAGATCAGATCCGGTAAGAACATGTTGAGTAAAATTTTTTGAAAGAATTTAGAATTTTTTAGTGATCGACCGACGACCGACGATTAACGATGACGGTCAGCACAGTGAACGATGACCGATCGATTGTGTTTAGAGAGAGAGGGTCTGAGAAAGGGAAAAGTTAGAGAAAGATGGAGAAAAGAAAAAATGAGAGAGAAAATTTTTTTGGGTTTTATAGAAATCGCCAAAGGCCAAAACGACCCATTTTAAGCTGACAATTCGCGCGTCAACCCGTCGATCAGACCCAAGGTTCGCGCAACCGACTCGACAATCCAACTCACCCTTTTACCCTTGATCGATTTAGCTGAACTGGTCCAGATCGAAATCGAACCGTGGGAACTGCCCAGACTAAACTGAACCATCAAACGACTAGATCTCACATTGACCAGACCGTTGACCGACTCGGTTCAGGTAAAAAAAATTTTTTTTTGAATTTTTTTATATATTATTTTTATAATATTTATGCATACTAAAATATTTAAATTTGTTAGAATAATATTTTATGTAGTTAAAATTTTTATAATTTTGTTAATTTTAAAATAAAATTTAAAAAAATAATAAACTTTATAATAATAATACAATTAATAAAAATATATAAGAAAAAAAATTTTATCCGACGATGAGATTCAAAGATACTCTAAGTAATGATACCTACGAGATCTTTAGGTAAGAGATTTGTTTAAAAACTATCAGAGCATTGGAGTATTTATTAAAAAAATTTTAATACGATAAAAAATTTCTTTTGTTATAAAATAGTAAATAATAATTAACTAATAAATTAAGAATAAGCAATAGAAAAAAAAATAAGAAAAAAAAATTTTATCCGATGATCGGATTCTAAAAGTATTCCGAGTAGAGATGCTTTAAGAAATCCCTTTGTGAGAAGATTTTTTTAAATATTACCAATGTATTAGAATATTTATAAAAAATCTTCAATATAATAAAAATTTCTTTTTCTTCAAAGTTTTAAATAAAAGAGAAATAAAATAAAATTAATAAAATTTTTTTAACAAAAATAAAATACTTGCATCAGCATATCAGCATTTTTCATTGCATGCTTAATAAAGTTTTTGTGAAAAATAAATTCGAGTCTCCGAAGATAAGATTTCTAAGGTATTTCGAGAAGCAATGCTTAAGAAATCTCTAGGTGATAAGGAATTCTTATAATGTTACCAACATACTTAAGAATTATTTCAATAACAAGGTTCTAATTTATTTTTCTCGAATAAAATTTGAGCTCTAAATAAAATTAAATAAAAAAAATAATTTCCAACAAATGAAAAAAAATCAAAAAAATTATTTTTCAAACACCCAAAATAAGATTGTTTTTACCAAAATCAATGGATAACACATGGTTAATTGGAACCATTTTAAACGGGCGCTATAGGGATGCTAATTATTTTTCATGCGTAATTGACTTTCGAACCCAGACTGTTTCGTAGACCGTAAAATTATCTTTTTAATAATTTTTAATTAATTTTAAAATTTTATTAAAAGGATAAATTTTAATAGGTGACCAATCGCACCTAGCCAAAAAAAAATGGTGATGACTTTGTTATTTTTTATTTTATTTTCAAATTCGTCGGACGGACACAAAACTGTTACGACAGTTGCTAGACAGCATGCATACCTTTTAATAAAAATTACACATTTATTCATAGGAAACTCCGAATTCATTTTCACTTATTTCGTTAAAAAATAGACTCAATAAACTTTTCAAATATATATGGCTTAATTTGTAATTCTTTGTATAAAAATTAAGAGAAATTTCATAATTTCTCTTTATTGCTGTTGCTAGGCAGCCTACATATCCTTAAGTAAATATTAAACTACTTTCATTTATTTCCTTGAAAAGTAAATTCAGCAAGTTTTCCAAAGGTATATAATAATCATTGTAACATTTTATCCCTTAATACAAAATATTATCTTAATCCACCACTATAAATACCATGTTTCATACGAAACGAAAATTTTTCTTTATAACTCCATCAAATTTATATTTCTTATTTTTATAGCAATAAAATCACATTATTAAATTTTTTCAACATTTTATTAAACCCTAATTAAAGTCTAAATGATTTGTCCAAACCAATCTTAAAGAAGGATTATAGATTTCCTAAAATTTTAGAATTTCTCAACTATAATTTAAATCTTAATACTTAATAACTAACATTATTTCTACAAAATTAAATAAAATTATTTACTTACCTTTAAAAGTCAATTGTCCTTGTAAGTTTTGCTTTTACCTTTGAAAGATAATTATCTTCGTAGATTTTATTTTTATCTATATAAAAAAAAGAGAAATAATATTTTATTTTCTTTCCATCAGTTGTCGTTGACCAAAAATAATAATATAAATTAATCCTATTAAAAATTGAATTATTTACTACTAAATCTTCTATTTTTTTAACTTTTTATTAAAAATTCCTTTCACTTATAAAATACCTAAAATTTCTTTTTTATTTTTATTTTTATTTTTACGGGCATTACAAATGCATCATGCCATTTGTAACATAAGTACAATTTGTTGTTCTTTCTGTCGCGTTGATGATCCGGTGCGTCCTCCTGAGCCCCAGCTGCCTCCTGTTTTGCTCCAGGACCACCATATAAAATTATATATATAGCATTGTCTATTATCACATTAAATTATGAAATTCTTTAGAGATATCCAAAATCCTGAAAAACATATATTTGATTTGCAGAGTATTGGAAAGGAACTGCCAAGCGAGCAACTGAACACTAATTAATGTATTTTAAAGGAAATGCTGTTGAGAATCTTGAGATACATTTTCCAGCAGATGTAAGCAAATTAGGCCTCTTCTCATATTTACCAACAAAATGAAAAGACGGCAGACAAAGGCAGTGACCACAAATGAAACTAAGAACAACAAATGGATGGCAATGAAAGAGCATAGCCTTAGATCTTTTGGAATGTGCAGTTCATAAAAAAGGATATGGCAAAGAGAGAGCATAACCGTACTGGATCTCTTGGAATGTGCTGTTTTCCTTTCGTTTTCATTTTAACCTTTTTGTTTTTGTTTTTTTTTTTTTTAATTTTTCTATTAGATGTCTTTTAATAGACTCTAGTTAAAGATAGTACAGAGAAAATCTGAAGCCTCCACTTCCACTAGCTCTTGCCTCTGTTTGAACTTATAGGATCCAGGACCACATAGTCTCGAAGGCATACTAAAGCACAATAACCAAATGCTGATTTGCCTTCTCACTTTCTGCGTAGCAAGATAACCTTTCTGACACGTAATGCAGAGGCGATGTGAAATATAAAAACAAATAGATTAGATAATTAGAAGAGTGACAAGAAAAAGGAAAGGAAAACAGAAAAAAATAATCCCAGTTGATGATATCCTTCTGTCTTAATTTCATCAATGTCATCTTGAATATGTGAAGTTGTGAAAATCACTCCAAATGCATGAAGCACATTGAAAAGATGGGTAATAAACGTCTCCGATTCCTTAGATGCAGAGATGCTAATCGTGCATCCAGATTTTTCTAGTTAAAAGTGTAGGAGCCTGCTGCAAATTAGGCCTATCTTTTGGTTTACCAATGGCCACTCCACTAGTATGTAGCAAGCCTGGTTTCTCAAACGCGACTATTAATATACGGATGTGAGGTAATTGGTCAACAATGAAAGTGGATTAATAGATGATTTCTGTGAATTTAAGGTGAGGAAGCACCAAGAGATTATCTGTAACAAAATCCTCCTCTCTCAAAAAGGGGAAGGCACCTTACACACCAAAACTAAATCTCTTCATCGTGAAAAGTAATAGATAATAGGATTGATAACTGCAGGGTGAATTTTTTGGGCAGCAGTACATGAAAGCAAACATCATGCATTGGCTTTTTGGGGAAATGAAATCACTAAACGACCTTAAACATCAGAATTCACACAATATAGTTAATTCAAATATTTGAAGAATATAACACTACTAGGAAAATGGGTTTTAGCAACTTGTGTTATTATTTCTTTTCAGTGAGGAAACATCGTCAAACCTAGTACAAGGTGGTAAGGCCAATGGAATCAAAAGGGACAGGACCACTATTCTTTAGAACTAACTAAACAAATTGGATGCGCCTCGAATATACTGTTTATGTGGAAAATACGACACTTATATCGTTTTGAGATGAACAAGTCCCGGTACTTGTTCATCTACAATATATATATATATATATATATATATATGGCCTTGAGACTCAGAACTGTTACATGGACAAAGTGAAATGCATGGATGAATTAGTTTCAAGCAAAGGAGGAAAAATGCATGGATGCATTACTGGGCAAATCTCCCTTGGGAGCAGCTAAACTTGGTTGCATGTCGAGGCATGTGGCAGATAAAATTAATTAAGCTCACTGCCAAAGGAGATTTGCCCCGCAATTCAGCCATGCAAACACATTTAGTAAGCTACACGTTGGTTTACTACCTGATGCAGCATAAAAGCCACTAATATGGTAATGGCACACATCAAGTGGCACGTACTTTTCCCTCATTCATTTTTTTTGTTTTTTCCTGATCTCTTTATCAGATATGATTTGTTTTATTTACTTTTGACTTCTTCATGTACATTTCCTGCTTTAAAATAGAATTAAAGGACGGAAAAGTTCATCATTTTCTTTCTTTACCAAAAGAAATTTTTGGGGAAAAGAAGCAACAGTAACTCCTAGAATCAAAGCATGTGAGTTAATTCCATGGAATTGGAATGTTGGCAAACCACGTGTCGCTGATCAACGGTTCAGCTGCTTGCCTTTTCATGTGAATTTCGGCTTTAATTAAAAGAATGGCTGCTGTGAAGTCCTTAGTATACCAAAAAAAAAAAAAAATGGCAAAAATCTGTGAGTTTAAATACTTCCACGTCATTCTTACAAAGCGATAACGACATGTAGTATTAAAAAAAAATTGTGAGTACGTAAAAGCGAAAGAATTAAGAATGGCACCTACATTACGTATTAAATTTGGTAAGGAACCTACTTAATTAATGTATAATCTATTCTTGAATTTATTGAAATTAGTTTATTAAATATTTAAAAAATTATATAGTATTTAATAATCAACTAGTGTTTATAAACGTCTATCAAGAGGACTCATAAAATATAAATTTTCATACAATGTAAAGATTAGGGCATTTTATTGTCATTAGTTAGAATAATTATTAGCAACCTAGATAATTTCACTTTTACCTTTCCTTTGTTATCATATAAATATAACCGTTAAGCTCAATTTTTTCGAGTTTAGACGAAATATTTTACTTTTTGACCTTATCAAACTTCCAATAATTATCAATAATTTTGATTTAAAAAATCTCATACTTATATATATATATATATTGTTTTTCTCTAAAGTACCCTTGCTGCCCCAACCTAGCTAATTGTTTAATTTGATATTCTTTATTATATCTTGGTGGAGTCAACCTATCGAAATTAGTCTGATTCACGTAATTTAAAATTAATAATCGTGATCCACGGATGCCAACATCTATTATTTGCATTGGCCTCAGTTCACACTTTGATAAAATACATTATTAATCTAATAATAGTTTTTATACATTGCACGCCATCATGCTGCAATCCCTTTATAATTTTCTAAAATATTCAAAATTTCTTCTTTTGATCATCATAATTCTCTTAATTTCTATTGTTTCTTAGCCAACCTTAATTTGAAATATTTGTCTAATTAACCACATGAAGTGTTGGGCAAAGATGTTAAGTCATGGTCGTCATCATTATCAACAGTGTTTATATATTGGGAGCATCTAGTAGCCTCTACACTAACATTCTAGTTCCCACCAGACGCAACGCAATAATTCCTTTTTTTTTTCTTCTTCTTGTTCTTAAAGCCACGTCATGTCCGCACGATCTAATCACTTTGCTTTCCAGGAAAATGCAACTCACTCGGACAAAACATAAAAGTAAAACAAAGTTTAATAGTAGGTAATACTAATAATAAAATGTTTTTATTAATACTATAATACCCCGGGGAAAACGTGTGTTTCTTCTGTTTAACTGTTTTTTGTCAATTGTATACGGCGTTACGGGTTTTTTGGTCACATAATTGGTTTATATATATAGTAAGGATTAAGGTCCAAATTCAACCATAACCTCACAAATTTCAGAATTCTAGGGTTTTTTTTTTTTTTCTTGAAGCTGCCTTTAATGGAGTCAGAGGAGATTATGAAACTCTATGATTCATGTTGGTTTGAGATGGAAATTTTCAAGACACAGAAATCTCCATCAACATCTGCAAGTTTTGAACCAAACCCAGATTACCAAATTGAAGAAAACTCATCAAAACCAGATTTTACACGCACCTCAACTCTCCATACAAGGTCCATGAGTGACCAGTCGACCTTAATTAGCACAAGTTTCATAGGTTCTGATTCTTTCTCACCAGACTCAGTTCTCCACTCACCAAAGCTCCATAAAATCATATCAGGCAAAGAAATTACGGAAGAAGAGTTGCAAGAAACTATTCAAGAATCACCTAACAAGAAGGTGGTTGCTAGTAGGAGAATTACAAGAAGAAAGAAGGGTACAACTAAGAGCTTGTCAGACTTGGAATTTGAAGAGCTAAAAGGGTTTATGGATCTTGGCTTTGTTTTCTCAGAGGAAGATAATAAGGATTCAAGGTTGGTTGAGATAATTCCTGGGTTGCAGAGATTGGGAAGGAAAGAGGGTGAAGAAGACAGTAAGGAAGCTGATGATAAGGTTGAAGTTTCAAGGCCTTATCTTTCAGAAGCGTGGGAACTTTCAGAAAGAAGAAGAAAAGAGAACCCTTTGATGAATTGGAAAGTCCCTGCTTTGGGTAATGAGATTGACATCAAAGACAGCCTCAGGTGGTGGGCTCATACTGTTGCATCTACTGTAAGATGATGAGAATTGAATTCACAGTTCAAAGTTTTGGTTTTCTTGGGATTTTCCCTATATTTCTGTCTAAATTCCTTTGCTTTTTACACGATTTTTGCAATCTATATATTTTCTTTGTTTCAGTTTATTTGTAAATAAGAATTACAAAGAACAACAATTTTTTCCGTCAACGAATTGATGATTTACTGGGTCCTTAGTTTTAAGTCTTTACATAAATTTGTTTACTTTGAGGTTGTTGTTATCGCCTACCAAACTTGAAAAGTTGACGTCTAGAAAATTCTAAACCCAGTGTGTTTGACCGGAAGCTTCGACTAAAAAATATCTCAAATTGTCTCACATTCTTGCTCCGAAATTTTAAGGGAAAATCCATTGTTAACTCCGTCTCAGATTCACAGGCAATTTTTATTTTTATTTTTTTGTCTTAGTAGTAGATGATATATGTCAGTTTGCATAAAAAAAATTGTTGATCCAAGTTTTGTCCCTAAAAATATACTTAATAAAATGTACAAGTTGTGATGTTAACTCACGACCTAACAAAACGGCTATTGCTTTACTTGGAGGTTGGAATCTCCATTTTAGGGGTCTTTGATAGTGTGATGAAAGGGATTTTCATCTAATCACAACTGCATTTTTTTATTTAATCCTTAATGCATCGCCTTAAATATTGAAACACGTGGAAAATGAGGGCATAGTAGGCCCATGGAAGAAATGGATAAGATGACCGCTTTGAACTCATCCCAAAGTCAAAAGTTGACGCCCAAAGAAAAGCTTCAAACCAAGCCCAAATTAGTAGTGGCTAATTGTTCTATGGTTGGCTTGGCTAGCATAGCAACTTGATGGCTTATTTGAGATAAAAAAAAAACCAAATATTTATGAAAAATTTGAAGGAATTGATTTAATTTAGCATGGAGTCATAGTTCTATTTTACCAATAAATTCAACTTTCAAAACCAACTCAATATATATATATATATATGTACGTGTGTGTGGTATTTCCCATCTTTATCATTCATGGAATTTTCAAGAATTTGAGTGGAAAAAGTAAGGATTAAAAAAATTTTGAAAGTTGGTTTTAGAAAATTAAAATTTTACTTTCAGATTATTTTAATCACTCTTTCTACGTTTACTTTATTACCTTTTCTTTTTCTTTTAAAAAGGATTTAGCATTTGGAATACTATAATAATAGCGAATTGAGAGTTAAAAAAATTATAAAAACAAAAAATAATAACCAATACTAATTAGGATTGTAATCGAATCGAATTGAGTTGAATTGAGTCGATATAATAAAAAATTTGAACTTGAGTTTGATTCTTAACTTATGACTCGATACTCAGCTCAAACTCGATCGAGTTTTATCTTTTTAACTCGAGTTTGATTCGTGATTAAAATCGAACTACTCGAACTCGCTCGATTAATATATAAAAATAAGTTTGATTCATATACTCGATAAGAGTTCGATTATTTGTGCTCTAGTTCAAACTCGAATTCGATATATTTTATTAATTAAAATAATAAAAATATATTTAAATATAAAAATTCGATTAGACTCACGGACTATTCGAATCAAATATAAAAATATTTGAATTCAATTCGATCGATGAATCGAGCTATTCGAGCTCCACTCGATAATAATTAAAATTAATTCAAATTTTATTCAAATCAAACCTAAATAATTTACAAATACTAATATATTATTTATATTCTTAATATTAACCAATAAAAATATTTGTCCACGTCATTTTTTACCGTTGGCTGATTTCTTTTCTTCTTCCGTGAATATACTTTGCAAATCCCCAAACAGCCCACTGACTCAAGTTACCTGGTTTTTCTAATAGACCAAACTACCCTCATTCCTCCATTCTTCCCTAATAAAATAATCTTGTGGCAACAAAGGGTTAATCTTGCCATTTCGGAAAAAAAAGAAACAAAATTTCCCTGATACTTTCGTCGAGAGAATCAAGCTAAATGATGCTTAACTGTACTAGCTTTCTCAGCTTCTAATTTTCTCTGTTTTATTAATGTAGTCTTGTTTTACGTCTTTGGTCCTCTCATGGATCGTTCGAAGAATGTCATGGAGAGTTTGGACTCTCTATGGTTTTTCAACAACGTGCTCACTTTACCAACATTTCAGCAAAAGGGTCATCGTGCGGCTGCCATTGATGAAGACACGGTCAAGGAAGAAGAAGAACCATCAAAACCCAAGATTGAGGAGGCTTCTAGTAATAAGATTTTGGTTCCAAGGTGTCCCAAATGTGGTGAAATTGCTGTTGCAATTGAGCAGCAGACAGTGCAGCCAGTTAAAGAGGTGGAATTTGCAAAACCAACAGAGAAGCCAGAGAGAAGGAAGAGGAGGAGAAGGAAAAGAAGCAAGAGAAAGGTGCTTGGAGAGCTTGATTTGGGGTTCCATGGTAAAATATTGGCTTCTGAGTCTTCGTTTTCTGAAGAAACATACGGGTATCCAAACTTTGAAAGCCAACATTTCACTAAAATGCCTCCTTTGAATGATGGTTTGGCCATGAAAGAGCACCTTAAGTCGTGGGCTTATGCTGTGGCCTGCACTGTCAGATAAAAGTAACTAATTGCTTTCTTCAAGTTGGAACCTGATCACTTTGTTCGCGCACTTGCTCAGTTGTTATTTTGACACTTTTTCCCCCCTCATTTAACTCATCTCCATGACTGTTAACTCTGTATTTTCTTTTTAGCTTCTTAGTATGTTTATTTTCCATTTTGGTTTATGTAATTTTGGTAGATGTTATAACCAAGGTTAATTAATTGGATGTGGGAATGTGAATGGTAGTGTTGTCTAGTTGTTTTCCTTTCTTTGTGATTCTGTTTCAAATTATGGGTATCGTAAACACTTTAAAATTCAAATTCAAGCAAGATTGTCCATCTCAAGAAATTGTAGTATTTCAAAATGTTATTTGAAATTTCATTAAAGTCAATGAAACATGACCCAAATTTTACAATTTTACAATTTATTTCTCGCACCATGTAAAGAGTTAACGCTCCACCTTACACAGCATTTCTACTACCATGCAATGATATAAGATCAAAAGAAAAATGATAAGACATGATTGTTAAAAGTAAGCCTATGAAACTTTCACGTGAAGAGGAAAATATTTGGCAAGATCATGTCATCTTTTTTCTGCAACTAAGACATGACCACTTTCTGAAACTGAACCCTGCACCATCCAGGAAACTTCCCAGTCATTTCCAATTTTCTATCTGATAATTTATACACAATCTGTTACATAACAGTGTTTTCACTGTTAAATTCTTCAGGCTATTCCATACAATTTTCTCGTTCAAGTCATTGAACATTTGACTCACGCCTCTGTGATAAAAAACCAAAGATGTTGGCTCTTGGTTTTTTTTTTTTTTCAGCTGTTATTTCCCCAATGCTGTCCTCCACTTACCGACTACTCTCACTAGACTAACGTGAATCCAGGACATCTACTAAAATCAAGCTTTTGGTCTTTTTGTATGAATAAAATTTATGGGGGCAAGCGTTTTAAGTTTTAACTGACTTCTTTGGTCAACTTTTTTGGCTGTCATGTTGAACTGCGAGGCCTATCTGCGTCAAACTGCTGTTTCGAGTGGAGAGGCATCGGTAGAAGAAATCTAAAGAAACTTTTCAGGGATAGTGCCAAGTTATGCTAGGGCCAAATTAGGTTCACATGCAAGATAATGGTGTTATCTTTTCTTCACATTCTTGGTTTTGATTGCCAGGAAACAAGTGAATGAACACAAACTAAATACTAAATGATTCATAATAACATGTTACTTACCACTTATAATTTTTTTGAAAAAAAAAAAAGAAATAAGGAATTGCTTGGTGATTGATTAAGTCAAAATCAAAGCAATTTGGCATGTTTTGCTTAATCACTACTTTAATCAGTTGGTTTTATAATACAAATCTTGATACTTATATGCATTTTTTTTTAATAAAAGAGGCCCAGCCAAAAAATAAAGAAAAAAATGTATATGTTAGTATTCCCGTTAAATACTATTTTTTAAAAATTGATATATAAATTAATTAAATTAAATTTTAGTATATAAGTTAATGGTATGACCGTTAACATGTGATTAATATTTTCATTCTTTAATTATTTTAAGTTAAAATCAACCTATAGATACTATATACCAAGTGATAATTTTCTAAAGAAAAATATATTTCAATAAAACTATTTCTTTTTTACAAAAGTGCAACTTTCAATGAATGACAACATGCATTAGTCTATCAAAAACGGATTATATTGAAATTGATGTTATAATCTTACAAATTTTCTATTTTTTTTGCCATAAATTTTGTTTAATGATACATATTTAAAGGAAATAAAAAATCAATCCGCAAGTTCAAAAAAATTAAGTTGTGATTAAGGAACTGGATCTAATGTGGGCCGAACGCCCAAAGCCCAACCCAACCTGATAGTGGACCCTTAAGCCACTATTATCCATTGCCCTGAAAAACAACCGAAAAGCCACAGCCCATCAGATAACAAGGGAGAAAGAAACCGGAGGGCAAAGTCGAAGGAGGCGCAAATGACGGAGTCAAGACGATTGAGAGGTCACCAGGCCACCGCCACATGCTGTATCGCCTCACGGGACCGACCCGGCCTCGTCGCCACTTCTGCCGAAGTAACGCTGCTCTCTTCTTCTTCTTCTTCTTCTTCTTCTTTCAATTTTAATTTTTACTGAAGCATTTTGTTTTTGCTTTTTTAATATAAAAAATAATTTAAATTAGGATGGGTGCATTTGTTGGTTTGATATGCGTTGCAAAGATGTACAACTTGTCATGGATGTTAGCAACGAACCAGTTTCATCCGTATGCTTCAACTCAGGTAAGTTTCTATCATTTTCCGTCTTAATTCATTTTCCATTTAAATTTTCTTCTAATTACTTTTTTTTTTATTATTTTTGCGTCGAATGCAGGAAATGAAAATATAATCTATGTTTCAACTGGAAATGTGGTCAAGTGCTTTGATGTGAATATGGTAATCCATCTTCTTCCTCTGACTGCCTTTCTATTCATTAAGTTTAATTTAAACTTGCTTAACAGCATTGTTCGTTTATAGTTAGCAGAGAACTCGTGGAAGCCTTTGGAGATTTATAGCTATAATAAAGAGGAGATAAATCAGGTAGAGATTATATGGAAAAATGAACTTTTAAAATTGGTTATGCTTTAGTTTATGAAGTGAATATTTCTAAAATAGAGTTTTTTTTTTTTGGTGTCTATGCAGGTTACTTGTAATTCTAAATCATCTTTCCTGGCAGCTGCGGATGATGGTGCTGAGATTAAGGTATTTGAAGGGTTTAGTTAGCTGTATTATGTTAGCACCATTAAAATTCCATTCTTCACAAATGGTAGTATGTTGGTTGGTTTGTTAATTAATGAAGAACTAACGAATGAATATCTAATGTTTTCGTGCATGATTGTACTTTTATTTGCTAGATAGATGGTTGATGCACCGATTTTAGCGATTTAACCATGCATGGTCATCTATGTCACAGATCATTGATATTCGTCAGCAATGTGTTTTCAAGACATTGAGAGCTGGCCATACAAGTGTATCCTTAGTCTTGAAGGTATTTGCCTTTTCCTATTCTCCTTCAGTATATAATGGTATGAATGTCCCCATGGTTTCTCAACCAAAAATTACAGGCTATATATTTGGTTTTTTGACATATTTGTTCTCAAAAAACTTTTATCCTTTTTTTAGTTAAATGAATGTATGTTTGGCTTCTGGAAAATCTTCTTTTAATCTTCTTATGGCAAGACTTTAAGGTCATGTTGGGTGCATACATTGATGGATAGGATAGTATAATAATCATTCTATATTATATTTGGTTTGTATCTAATTGAAGGGGATCGGATTACAAGAAGAATTATCATCCACTTGGTATAAGATGGTTTAATCCTCCCAAAGTGGAGAGAATTATTTTTAATCTATAGGATTAAACTTACATGTCCTATTATACCCTTAAAAATTACATCAATAATTTAAATTGTATAAACTTTGAGGAAGGATAATTTTGATCAATAAATAAATTATCTTATCTTAATCCTTGCACACATCAAACATAAAATAGGATGACATTATTTGATTTAATCCTATTCATAATATCATCTTACCCTATCCTATCATAATCTTGCGTACCAAACATGACCTAAAGACTTCTTATTGCTGTAATCCTAAGTGGGAGGATTATGTTTGGGTGATATGCTACTCTTCTCCTCATGGAGTTAGCTTGAGTCTTTACCCTTCTTTCATATATTTCTCAACTTAACTCATCATAGATCTGCAGCAGTGTCCAATTCATTCCTTGGAGACCTTGGGAAGGTAATATGTTATTGTTTTATAGTACTCTTTTAAATCTGTTTCTCTAACTACACTTTTATTTAAAGTTTATAGCTGTAAAGTTTCTCTTGGCTGTCCATTACCAACATTCTGTGTGAATGTGACCTGCAGAGTTGATATTGTCCTTTTGCTTCATTCTGTTCAATTTATTTAATTAAATAGTGCATCAAAGTTCAGGATAGTTTTTCTAAATATTATGTTTTATTTTGGGAAATTTTGGCAGTCATTACTGGTGGTCTTGATTCAAAACTTATCACTTGGGACTTCTCAAAAGGACGCCCTTCCAAAATTGTGGATTTCGGTATGTATGTCATAAACTCTTAGTTCAGTTGTTTGATGGAGCTTCTTCAAATTTGAGATGTGTCATATCTACAACATTTGTATGGTATCATGGACAATAAACTTAAGGTGGTGCATCTTTATTAAACATCAGCGATTTGATCCTCCTTATGATTATTCTAAAAAAATTAAGAATAGTGCATGTACTGATTCATGTCTCTGATTTTGCCTTCTTCACTGCAGGCCTGCCTGACATGAGTAGTGGTAGTAATGCTGGACAATGTTTAAATCCAGCTTTTGTGCACTCAATAAAAGTTCCTGATGTTGATATGTTGGACAAAGTAGGCAAGATATGTGTTGTGGCCAAGGGTGATGGCGTTATTGATGTGATCGATATGGAATCAGAACTTGCAGCCATCAAGACTAAAAGTTCCACAAAATCCCGAAAAGGAACTCATTCAGTGTCAAAAGCCAGTCTTCTAGTTGATGGTGGGGTGAATGATGAAAAAGAAAGAAAATGGTTGCATTTGAATTACTCTTTAGGTGGTCATACCGCTGCTGTATCTTGTGTAGCATTTTCTTTGTTTGGAGAGAAGGGGAAGTTCCTAGTTTCAGGTGGAAATGACAAGTTAGTCAAGGTCTGGGATTGCTCCAGGTGTCTTGATTCAGGGCAGACTGGAGGTAACAATGAGCTTCTACATTTGAACATCAATTTAAGCAAAAAGGTGAGGTCTATTGCCTCTTTCTCTCTATGTTTCATTTCTCTTATCTACTTATTCAGAGCTTTTCATCTTGAACCTCTCTCCTTGTCAGGTTAATTGGCTCTGTACAACTCCAGCTGAATCAGATAACCTTGTTGTCTGTGACACAACTAAAGTAGTCAAGGTCTACTCTGTTTCCTAGATCAAAGCTGCAGAATCGTTGATGTTATCAGTTGACATTGTGGAGAGCGTTGCCTGCTTTTGGTGCATGAGATTGTCTTCTATTATTTCTGGAGTATTTTGTCGTTGATCCATGATCAGCTTGGCATAGATATCACCTATCAACCAGGAAAGATAGCCTTGCTGCGCATCATCAATCCACACCTCAATTAAGGGGATAGTATCCTCAACACTATCGACTGATCAGAGATATAAATTATCTAAGCTGGAAAATAGTTGGTTCTAGTGAGTATATCTTTTTTGAAGAAAATAGAATGAGACGAATAATCTCATTACTGTTACCTTGGAGGTGTAAACTTGATCCTGCAAAATTTTGAGTAATTCATTCTTTGTACCCTTTATCCCGTGTGAATAAGTAGTAGTCTTAAATTTTCTTCCCTAAAGCTGAATTTTATCAGTGGAATCTGCTCTGCTGCGTACTAAATTTCCCCAAATTTTGTAGTGGAACATTCATGGAGGATCATTTCCTAAGTAGGTTGTTTTGGATTAGGGAAAATGTTGAAGTCCAAATTCCCTCACTCCATGAAAGTCATCTAGAGTCAAACATAACTAATCGGTTTGGGTTTCGTTTAATGCAGGGGGCATGGCTCCTGTTCTCACTTCTCAGTGTGGCATTTTCCAGGTTACTGTCACATTTGTAAGCTGTTATTTCCGAAGCTAGAAAGTCCCATGATTAGCAAACATTGATATCTCCCAATTTTGTTATCTTAAATCCTGAGATAACCTGAAGCACTCTTTTTCACTATTATTGGCAGTGAATTTAAAATTTAGAAGTCTTAAGTTGGTGACTAGAATTGAAGGCACTTGGCATCTAGAAGCTTAGTGCACTTTTTACCTATCCGCGAGGACAAAATTACCAAATAATCGGTGGAATGAAACAAAAATAAGTACTGTACATGATAAACAAAGGTTAAGGAGCCTCACAGATATAATCATTTTTTTCATTTTGATAGTCTTAAAGAATGTTAACACGAGTCCCGCCAGATAGAAAACTCTTCAACGTGGGTGGGATCATGAATGCAATCAATGTCAAAACCAAAGGGTGGGTTCACCCTTGGTCCCAGCCTTGAAGTAGGGACTATCTGGTCTCGCTTAATTCTGTACATGTTAATTTGGTGTCATTCCACACCCATTTCTGACTCATTTTCTTTGTCATTTTTTTTTTATATCATCTTTAAGTGATTGCATGAATCAATTAGATTAAATTTCATATTATTTGTTTTCTAAATTTGCTAGCTAACTAGTGATACTTTTTCTTATATGATCTAGTTTTAAAATCTCCAAATCCAGGAGAAACAATCAACAGTGAATATTTTCTTCAAACTGAATATGCAATACGTATTGTTTATTGTTGCACAGTTGCAAACTTGTAGGCAAGGCTGGTTAGTTAAAGATGTACCTTGCCCAACCGAAAGTTTCCTTAAATTTCCCGCAATTTTTCAAAAATCCTTTTCTCTTAGACCAGCAAAATGTAGACGTTACTTCTCACATTTCTCTCCGTCTCTTTTCTCAGCAAATATATGACACCAACAACCCACCTTCCATACTCTACCAACCGCCATCCCCCAACCTCTCTTCACCATTACAAAATTACCGTCTCCACCAACTTACAAAGACCAACATACCCTAACTTGTGTTGGGGTTTTTCATATAAAAAACAAACAACAAACACTAAGGATTGAGAGAACTAGTAGAGGAAGACCCTTGGCTAGCATACTGTACCATTGGATTTCTCAGAGAAGAAAGGGAAGACAAGTTTTTGAGATGATGGAATCCGGGGCTCCTGTTTGCCACACCTGTGGTGAGCATGTGGGGTTGAATGCCAATGGAGAAGCTTTTGTCGCTTGCCATGAGTGCAATTTCCCCATTTGCAAGACTTGTTTTGAATATGAGCTCAAGGAAGGTCGAAAAGTTTGTTTGCGTTGTGGTAATCCATACGATGGTATGTTTCTTTTATTTCTTGATACTAGTTTCTGTTTTAAAATTTATATATTTTCATTTGGTTCCTGATAATTTTTTTATATTAAAAAAAGGGTTTTGATTCTTGGGTTAACTTCATTTGTTTTCCAAATGCTTGTTTGATTCCCATGAAAGAAAAACGATCAGAAAGGAATAAAACTGCTTTAACCATCAGCAGTTAGGGATATATAGTTTCTGAAAAATCCTTGAAGATTCTTTGCCATTTGTATCATTGATGTCTACTTCCCCAACACAGAACATTATGAATGCTATTGTGATTATTGTACAATCATGAGTTCACATTTTAAACTGATTGCACGACTGTCAACTCCACAGAGAACCTGCTGGATGAAGTTGAAAAGGCATCCGGCGATCGATCCACCATGGCTTCACACCTGAACAAGTCTGAGGTACTTTTTTGATGCCTTTGAAAGGTTTTTCAGTAAATTCTAAATCCAGGTGGAAAAGTAAACCAATGATTCAGAAGTTTTAAGGGAGTTTAATTATCTAAAACTTTTAAGTTATTATAATTAGTGTCTGACATTTCCTAGGTACTTCAGTGTTTGGATACTGAGAGCTCTATGTTATTCATCTTGGTTTATACAGGATGTTGGAATTCATGCAAGACATATCAGCACTGTGTCTACGTTGGATAGTGGTATGTAATATTGATTCCTCTCTTTCAATTTTCCTTCAAGAAAAGTGCAACTCTAAATTTCTAATTTTCTCGTCCTATTTTTCATGCAGAAATGACCGAAGACAATGGGAACCCAATTTGGAAAAACAGGGTGGAAAGTTGGAAAGAAAAGAAGAACAAGAAGAAAAAGCCTTCAACAACTAAGGCTGAAAGAGAGGCTCAAGTTCCACCGGAACAACAGATGGAAGACAAACCGTAAGTATTTAATTGGAAAGCCTTGCGTGATTTGCTTAGATTTTAATAGAAAGTAATGTTAAGTGTAACCGATATGTAATATTTGCTTTTGCAGGGCAGGAGATGCTTCTCTGCCCCTGTCGACTATAATTCCAATTCCAAAAAACAGAATTGCTCCATACAGAACTGTGATTGTTATGCGATTGATCATTCTGGGTCTTTTCTTCCATTACCGAATTACGAATCCTGTTGACAGTGCTTTTGGTCTGTGGCTCACTTCAGTCATATGCGAAATCTGGTTTGCCTTTTCCTGGGTGTTGGATCAGTTCCCTAAGTGGTATCCTATTAACAGAGAAACATACGTTGAGAGGCTATCTGCAAGGTACAAATCCATGATCAAGACTATGTTCCTACAAATCAAGTAAAATGAAGTTTTGATCTGTGAATATGTATCTGAGATGGATTTTTTTTTTTTTTTTTTCAATATCATGGCAGATATGAAAGAGAAGGTGAACCTTCTGAACTTGCTGCTGTGGACTTCTTCGTGAGTACAGTGGACCCTCTGAAAGAACCCCCATTGATCACTGCCAATACCGTGCTTTCCATCCTTGCCCTCGACTACCCTGTCGATAAGGTCTCTTGTTTTGTATCTGATGATGGTGCTGCCATGCTGACATTTGAATCTCTAGTAGAAACGGCTGACTTTGCAAGAAAGTGGGTTCCATTCTGCAAAAAATTTTCCATTGAACCACGGGCACCCGAGTTTTATTTCTCACAGAAGATTGATTACTTGAAGGATAAAGTGCAGCCCTCTTTTGTAAAAGAACGTAGAGCAATGAAAGTAAGCGCCTTAAGCTTTCTTTAGCTACATTTCTTTAATATTCATACGACTTTGATATTGGAAGTTATGTGCTATCTCATATATAATTAATAATTTCCTTTCAATTCGGTTACAGAGAGATTATGAAGAGTTCAAAATTCGAATTAATGCTTTAGTTGCAAAGGCTCAGAAAACACCAGAAGAAGGATGGACGATGCAAGATGGAACTCCTTGGCCAGGAAATAACACGCGTGATCACCCTGGCATGATTCAGGTTTTCCTTGGAAATAGTGGTGCCCTTGACATTGAAGGAAATGAACTTCCCCGACTGGTTTATGTCTCTAGAGAGAAGAGACCTGGTTACCAGCACCACAAAAAGGCTGGTGCTGAAAATGCTTTGGTGGGTATACATAGTACAAGACCAGCTTTCATATGGACGCTTAAATGTTCTCTTGCAACTGACAGTGAATGGCTTCTTACAGGTTCGAGTGTCAGCAGTTCTAACAAATGCTCCCTTCATCCTCAATCTTGATTGTGACCACTACGTTAACAATAGCAAGGCAGTTCGGGAGGCTATGTGCTTCCTGATGGACCCCCAAGTTGGTCGAGATGTATGCTATGTGCAGTTTCCTCAAAGATTTGATGGCATAGATAGGAGCGATCGATATGCCAATCGCAACATAGTTTTCTTTGATGTAAGATTAAAGCAAAACCAATTTCCGCTTGCTTTATGTTCTTCTGATAGTTTTTAAGTTGTGATTAACAGAAGCCTCTTGAGTTCTGACAATTCTTCCAAATTTCAATTTCAGGTTAACATGAAGGGTCTTGACGGAATTCAAGGACCAGTTTATGTAGGAACAGGTTGTGTTTTCAATAGGCAAGCACTTTATGGCTATGGGCCTTCTTCAATGCCCAGCTTGCCCAAATCCTCCTCCTCATCCTGCTCATGGTGTGGTTGCTGCTCATGTTGCTGCCCGGGAAAGAAGGCTCCTAAAGATCCATCAGAGCTTTACCGGGATGCAAAAAGGGAAGAACTTGATGCTGCCATCTTCAACCTTAGGGAGATAGACAGTAAGTCTAAATCTTCGAGGCAAATTAAGCTAAACCAGTAGTTTACAGAGTTCTTGTATTGTTGACGTATCTCTGGTCTTGTTTCTGCAGATTATGATGAGTATGAAAGATCAATGCTAATCTCTCAGATGAGCTTTGAGAAAACTTTTGGCTTATCTTCTGTCTTCATTGAATCTACACTAATGGAGAATGGAGGAGTGGCTGAATCTGCCAACCCTTCCACACTTATCAAGGAAGCAATTCATGTCATTAGCTGTGGCTATGAAGAAAAGACTGAATGGGGGAAAGAGGTTGGAATCTTGATACTTGTTTATCATATAAGACTTAAAATGCTGCTAATTTTGAAGTACAACGAGGTCAAAAGAAACAAAATCTTTGAATAGATTTTTTTTTCCTGCCTACAAGATCTCAATGGAGCCAACTCTGTTGCCAAAATGCATATCACTGTCATGATCCTCTCATCATATTTTAAGCAAACCGGTACAATAGGATCTCATAATAACTCTACATCTCCCTAAGCTTAATATCTATATTGATCCTTCTTTCTTTCCTGCATGGAGACCTTGAACAATTTTAACCTTATTCTGCTCTTATATCTGATATGTACTTAATACTAGTTGGTCCAAGTCATACTCAGTTCATTCTTGTACTGACAACGTTAGAACTTTCTATTTGTTTGCTCAGATTGGATGGATATACGGTTCAGTCACTGAGGATATCTTAACTGGTTTCAAAATGCACTGCCGAGGATGGAGATCAATTTACTGCATGCCCTTAAGGCCTGCATTCAAAGGATCTGCACCCATCAATCTGTCGGATCGGTTGCACCAGGTTCTTCGATGGGCTCTTGGATCTGTGGAAATTTTCCTGAGCAGGCACTGCCCCCTATGGTATGGATTTGGAGGCGGTCGTCTTAAATGGCTTCAAAGACTGGCATATGTCAACACCATTGTCTATCCATTTACATCCCTTCCTCTCATTGCTTACTGTTCACTGCCGGCAATCTGTCTTCTCACAGGAAAATTTATCATACCAACGGTAATCATCTTGTTAAATAACTATTTATCATAAAAAATTTCAATTCTGGTTATTCCTTTATCCTAGTTTAGTTTCAAAATCATAAAGACTTACATTGCTTTGCTTCACATTTTTCTAATTTGATGATTAGCTCTCAAACCTAGCAAGCGTTCTGTTTCTTGGCCTTTTCGTTTCCATTATTGTTACTGCCGTGCTTGAGCTCCGATGGAGTGGTGTCAGCATCGAGGACTTGTGGCGTAATGAGCAGTTTTGGGTCATTGGAGGTGTTTCAGCCCATTTCTTTGCCGTCTTCCAAGGTTTTCTTAAGATGCTGGCAGGTATTGACACCAACTTCACTGTCACTACCAAAGCAGCTGATGATGCTGAGTTTGGTGAGCTCTACATTGTCAAATGGACAACACTTTTAATACCCCCAACCACACTTCTCATTGTCAACATGGTTGGTGTTGTTGCTGGATTCTCCGATGCACTCAACAAAGGATATGAGGCTTGGGGGCCACTCTTTGGCAAAGTGTTCTTTTCCTTCTGGGTGATCCTCCATCTCTATCCATTCCTCAAAGGTCTCATGGGCCGCCAAAACAGAACCCCAACCATTGTTGTTCTATGGTCAGTGCTATTGGCTTCCGTCTTCTCTCTTGTTTGGGTCCGGATCAATCCATTTGTGAACAACGCCAATAGCTCAACCGTGGCCCAGAGCTGCATTTCTATTGACTGCTGAGTTAGAGTACTTATTCAAGTAGCAGATCTTTTGAATTCACGACTACCGGGGTGTTCCTATGATAATATTACCTCTTGTCAAAATGGAATTGCAGACTGTAAGATGTCTATTGACTAAGTTTTGAACAGTTTGTACCTATCTTCTCTTCAGTGTGTAAGTTCTCTATGCAATGCTGTGAGCTATATCAATGTAAAGAGGTGTATTTTTTCCCAACAACTGCTGTTGAAACCATTGAAAAGAAATGAATGGAGTGTTTGTCTTTTCTTTTATTTGTTTTAAATCTCATGCGTCTGTATTTATGTCATTGAAATTACTTGAAATGAACTATTAATCAACTTACAAGTAAAGAAAATATAGGCATCAGACAGCGAATTCAGTTTCCAACGGTCACATGATTGCCTGTCCTAAAAATTCTACCTTTTGTTCCTCCACTAAAATCGTGCTCCTCTTGTGAACTGTTCATCAATCACCAGATATAAAGCAAGGGGCACTGGCTCTATGCTCATCACAGCAATCTCGCCTGGCTAAATCCTACATATGACCTTGAGAGGGAACAAAAATAAATTTAATAAAGTCATTACAAAAGTAACAAAGTTATCTGACCCGACTTTTATCAATCTTAGCCTGCTCTCACCAAAAAGAGCTCCCCAAAAAACATGTGATTGATTACAAATTAGCTGTTACTTTGGTCAACAAAAATAAAAAATAAAAAAGAGCATCTGTTTCTAATCAACTGAAAACTTGGAGAAGCTAACGGGAAATGACAGCCACCTTGACGCGCAATTAAGAATGATTTAACCAAATACCACCTGCAATATTTACCATGAACAGTTGGCAATGATATTACCAAATTTTAGTTCTCATTGCCACCAATGATTTAAATCGAATAATTTCATCTTAAAAGAGTTCAAGCAACCAGACAAATTTTTTTCTTTCAAAATCCTTTCAAGAACCCAAAAGTAGATCATCTTGTATAAAAGCTATCTGCCTAATAGTTTGTTTCACAAATTTCTCCAAAGAAGGAAATGTTTAGGAAGACAACCTTCTGTGTAGCGACGAAATTTCAGGTTTTAACATTATCAAGAATTTGTCAAAACCAACAGACTGGGTTGGAAATTTCAGCTTATTGCTAGCATGCTTTGAGCTTGCCAACAGGAAAACCTTGGAAACGTAATAGAGGGGAAACCAAGATCCCAAGGCATACATGCATGATTAATATGATGTGTAACTTTCCAAGAAGTTACATCAAATTCTAGTGTAAATATAAAGAAAAGAATCCTTGGTGTATAATGATAACACCCACATTTTCAAAACAGCGAAAGAAAATTTCGATTCTAATATTGCTTTTATACTTTATCCTAAAATGTCACCTAACCTATGTACTAGAGAATTTATTTTAGTTCTTGCTTTTCAATTAATTTCAAGTATGTCCAAAAAGGTTCAAGTCCGTGGAAGTTAACCAAGGGCGGTTTCCTTTTTCAATCTCTTCACTGTAATTAGAAAAGGTTGCACCCTAAAAAAATTCTAGTACTAATGAAAAAGCGAGGAAAGTAGCTGGAAGCCACCCAAATCCTGCTGAAAAGGAAGTGTACCCTGTCACGGACAATTGCTTTTGAAATTTGGTTAAAAAAATTTTACCCTTTTTAAATTTCTTTGTAATAACCTGCATAAAGTATAAATTCAAGTTTGACCCTCGCATGGTTTGTATCTGTACCTATAAATGAACAGAAAAATCTCAGATTGTGGCCTTTGTCAAGCTCGGCAAATAGCAACCATGTGAGCACTTCAGACTGCTTATAATACCCTCCGTTACTGGAAATTATAATATTAACTCCAACTTTCCTTTTTTTTTTTTTCTCTTCTTTATCTTCGTGAAAAAAATAAGGGTTAATGTTTTTCTCTATTTTGTTTTGTTTTGTTAATGAGAAAAATATTAAAAACATATTCAAAGGGAAAATGGTTCTTTAAAATTCAAAGTCTAACTCTTCTTCATCAAGATGAAAAAAAATTCATTTTTCTTTATTTTTTCAAAATGTTGCTAACCTATGCTTTAAAAGTATATTTGTTTAAATTATTATATTTAAAAAATATTTTATACAATAGAATAAAACTATTATATTAACCATCAATTATTATATTTAATGAAAAAATATTATAGTAAACAATATATTAACTAACTTTATAAAAATACGTTAGGACATTCCTTAACAAATATTCTTTTTCAAAGCTTTGGGACGGTATTCTCAGTTCTGACCGATGGTGGTGTTTGCTGGGTAGGACGGAGGAAGTAGTGAGGTGGCAATAGATGACTGGCCAAAAAAATTGGATATAGATTGTAATGCAGTTATTGTTTTGTAAACAACATCCCAATACCAGACCATAAACTCTTGACCAACTGTCAAACCCCATCTTCCTCCTTACTTCTCTCTGTTGTGTTCTGCCTCTTCCTCTCACTTCTCACTTCACGTCCAACCTCACTAAAACTCAGGTGTCACTCTGAACTCACTCCCTCTCTTTCCTACATGAAACCATCACGAGCACCGCCATTCTTCCTCCTTCTCCTCTTTCTTCTCTCCACCGCCACCACCACCTCCGCCGCTACCACCACAAATGCCACCAAACCAGCCAACCCCACCAAACCCACACTCTCGCCCACTCCCTCCCCCACGTCCTCCCCAACCCCACCCACCACCAAAACTCCCTCTTCTTCGCCCCCTACTCTAGACCCTAAACAAATCGAAGCACTCCAATCTCTGAACATCCCCACCACAAGAGACCCTTGCATCCAACCTTCCCCTCACAACGCCACCACCTGTGATAGCTCCAAGCCCTTCCGGCACCTCATTTCACTCCACCTCTCCAACTGCTCCTCTGACTTTTCCCTTTCTTTTGCGGCTCTCAAGTCCCTCTCTTCCCTCCATTCTCTCTCCTTCACCAACTGCCATGCGTCCCCCATCCGCTTCCCTTCCGATCTCTCTCTTTCCCTCACTTCCTTCTCCTGCATTCGCTCTCTCCGCCGCCTCTCTGGGATCTGGCTCTCGCGTTTCGTTAACCTCACCGATCTCACAGTTTCCTACACTCCAGTTAACACCACTGGCCTTTATGTAATCCTTGGAAACATGCATAAGCTGAAGACAGTCACCATTTCTCATGCCAATCTTACGGGTTCTCTTCCAAAGCACCTGCATCTGAATCTGACCCATGTTGATTTATCCGATAACAAGCTCAAAGGAAAAATACCAATTTCCCTTACGCTTCTTGAAGATCTTGAATTCTTGAATCTTTCTTCAAATGGGCTGAATGGGGAGATTCCTACCGAGTTTGGTGACTTGATATCATTAAAAAATGTATCTTTGGCTTCCAATTCGTTTTCTGGGTTAATCCCAGATTCCATGTCAGCTATTCCAGGCTTGTTTCATGTTGATCTGAGTAAAAACCAGTTAAATGGGACTGTCCCAAGGTTTTTCTCAGAGTTGAAAGGGTTGAAAGTCCTGAATCTTGAGAACAATGAACTTCATGGGGTTTTGCCTTTCAATGCAAGTTTCATTAAGAGATTGGCTGTTTTCAAGGTTGGTGGGAATGCCAATTTGTGTTACAATCATTCTGTTTTGTCATCAAAAATGAAGCTTGGGATTGCTCCTTGTGATAAGCATGGATTGCCGATGTCACCACCGCCTTCTAAGGACTCTTCTGGAGATAGTAAGAGTGACTCTTCAGATTATGATGATGATGGTGCAGATACAAGTGAAAAGGAGCATCATCACGGGCCAAGTAAGGTTGTTCTTGGTGTCGCAATTGGGCTTTCTTCAATAGTTTTCCTTATTGTTTTCTTGGTTCTTCTCTCAAAATGGTGTGGTTGAAGGAAAAAATATTTTTTATTATTGATTAGATTTTTAGAGTAGGGGAAATTAGTATTAGAGTTTTCCATTTTTTTATTATTGATCTTTGATACACTTGATTTACGAAAGGGGCAGCTATAGGTGGAACTTTTGAGAAGGAAAAATGGAGGCACAGGATATATTGTGCTCATTGAATGGTTAAAAGAGCAGTGATTTCCCTTTCCTTTTTTTTTTTTTGGTATGAGGTGTGAGCAATGAGAGGTGTATTAGGAGTTGTTAATTCTTCAGAGAAAAAAGTGATTAATCTGTCAATTTTTTTTCCTAAAAAATATGTATTCTTCTTGATCTTCAAGCATTTGCTTTTTGAAACGATCTTCCAATTTTGTCCTTTCTTGTCATTCATTGTGCTTTACCTTGATTCAATTTGTTGTCCAAATATTGCCCAATGGAGTTCTTGGTGAAAGGTTTTCAAGTATTGATATCAATGAAGTTAAGACCACCAAAAAAAAAAAAAAAATTTGCTGTGAGCTTTCGGCTGTAACAACTACCAAGTGTCTTGTGCGACCACTGCTCTAGATATGTCTCTCCTTTCTATTCTACCGAATCTTTTGCATTTTTTTTTTATGCAAGAGGCGAGAATTTAGGCTCAAAACTATGGCTTTTTCACGAATCCGTTTTTTAAATCCAACCGCCGGAGCTAAGTCGAAGAAGTACCGGCTAGCAATCACATATAAAAATCTGACGTACTAATTCTATGTTAATCGACAGATAGTCTTGCTAGAGCATAGCGATATGAAGCAAAAATGGTTTTCTTTGTAAGTTAAAGACTACACAGTTTAAACTCCTAGTTAGTTACGAGAAACTCCGCAAGAACAATATCCATCCTTAAAATGGTAAAATCGATCTGCATCTCTTAAGGACAATTTCTCTCCCAGTTTCCTCGGACGTGAATTTGGCCATTTCATCACAGTCACCACATATTCTGAGATTCTTGGTTACTCGTATTGTTTTGATAGGTGGCAAGGTTAGTAATCTGAAAGCCATGGCTAATTTCCCACCATGCCCACAGAGAGCTATTTCTTTTTTGCATGTCATCTGGCATTAATCAAAGCATGCTTAGTTTTAGAAAAATAGCCTTCTTCCTTCATCCTCCTTCCTAACTTCTTTTATATGGATTCTATCTTTTTGCTGATTTATTTGACATAGCATATACCAGATAAATTTAGTTCAATCGAAAAAATTATAAAGGTTAATAAACATCTTAGCTTCAGGATCAGTGGTCACCTCTCAAATCACAAAGTGCAGCAACTTATAACACTCTGAAACAATACTCGATCAAAATCCTTTAGAGAGAATTACCAAGAACACAGTTTCTATAATACAGACATTCCATTCATACTACGATGCCTTAGCTGAACTTACACATGGAGTGGGCAAATGCTCAGACTTGATTTTTTTTTGGTTCACCAGTTTCAGTTAAAAATATTTGAATAGAGAAGAGCATTTTCCAAAAGCATATATATTAATAAAGTAATTAAACCAACATAAATGCGCTTAGGATTTTAAAGTCAATCATAAATCTCTTCAGCAAAACCATAACTGAACAAAAACTAGTCAAAATCAAGTAGCCAAAACTCAAAATAACTCAAACTGAGCTTGTACTGCTATTCCTAAGCTCCAATGTTTTGAGACTTGTTAAGGATGACACCTTCATATTTGACCTGGAACCACTTCATGGCATCCTCCTTAGTAACTCTGTGCTGAATACCAACACGTGACTTGCATCTGCGGCGACGACCCACACGGTACCCAGCTCGTTCAAGAACAACATAGAAGTCCATACCATAAATACCAGTTGAAGGATCATACCTTGAACGAGAACAAGAGTTGTAATTTAGGCCTTTATGGAGTTCAAAACATCAATATTAACTGTAATTACAACTAGAATGAAGCTGCCAATAACTACTTCAAATTAACTCCGTTATGGGGATAAAAGAACAGATATTCACAACATTCCTCTCATGCTTAGTGGTTCCACAACCAGTGCTAAGTTAACCACTAGATGATTGCATAAAGCAATGCTAACTTTGAATGGGTTAGCCAGTTTTCAAGCCACACACTAACTTTAGCAAGAAAGCCAAACCTTTAGGGTGCGCTTGGACAAGCAATTTCAAGGAGGAATTTCATTTGCAGAGAGATTTTTAAAATTTTAAAATAAAATTATCATGTTTGGCAAAATAAAAATTGAAATTATCAAAATTCTTGGAATTTGAATGAGGAATTTTGAAACACTCAAATTATCTTTTTACATTCTACCTCCTTATGTGGAATTTGTGAAATTCATGTTTCTACGGTAAGAAGTCAAAATTTACTATTTCCTTTTTTATGCAATTTTTGTTTTTTTCAATTTTAAGTACAAAAACTCATTATAAAATTTTTTTTAAAATTTTTCACATTGTTAGTAATATCTACACATTTTTACAAATCTAATGACACCCATATAACATATATATTTTTTTTGCATTTTGCTTTTTCTATCCCTAAAATCATTATTTATTCATTATAATTATTTTTTATCTCATCAAATTCCAATATTCAACATTCCTTTCCAAAAAATAATTATCCAAACAATGCAATTACAAATTCTGTTATTTTCAATGATACATTTCAAAATGCTAACATTCCAACGTTCTTTGGTTGCCTAGTTAAAAGTTGCAGTGTTATCATAATATCATCCTAAAGGAAGATTAATTGACAAAGCAGCTCTATTTTAAATACTAATACCAATCCCAACCCCAAACAATTTATTCAAAAACCATTGCAGGATACAAACAAGCACATTGCCATTCAAGTAGTTATAGTAGTTAAATCATAAAGTCTCAGTGAAAATCAATGACCTAAAACTATCAAAGATTCCCAATTTAGTTCTATTACGTTCTTGTCAACTTCAAATCAAACTTAAGTATCCAGAATGTGCTATCACCGTAAAGAAACCAATTAAAACAAATTAAAAATTGATAAAGTGGCACCCAAAAGGAACAGACTTACTTGATGCCAAGATCAATGTGCTCCTGGATACCGAATCCGAAGCAGCCAGTATCACTGAAGTTCCTCCTCAAAAGCTCGTATTCCTTAACCTTCAAACCGCTCTCAAGAAGCTGCATAGCCTTTTCTCCCCTCACCGTCACGTAGCAAGCAATCTTCTCATTACGCCTGATTCCGAAAGATCTCACAGTGTACCTAGCTGCTCACATCAATCCCACAGTTTAATTTTCATGAAAAACAAAATCCAAAAACAAAAAGGAGAAAGAGCTAAAAGACAGCATTGGGTTTCGGAATTTTACCCTTGGAGAAGACAGGGGTTTGACCACTGAGTTGTTCCAACACCTAAATAAGAGCTAAATGGATTAACTAAAACTCAAGTAAAAGATGCGGGAGGAGAAAATGAATGCGTTTTTTTTTTTTTTTTTGGGGGGGGGGGTGGTTGGGATTGTATTGGTTACCTTGGCGGCACGGGTGAGACGATCACCGCTTTCACCGACGGAGATGTTGAGGACAAGTTTTTGAACTTTAATCTCCCTCATTGGGTTTGACAGCTTCTTCTCTGATGCCTTTCATAATTACAAAAAAAGAATAATAATAATAATAATAAAGAAATGTTATGAGACATGTATTAACATAAGAGCAAATATGTCTGAGTAAACCGATCAGATTGAGATAGAGAGAGAGAGAGATACCATGGCGAAATGGAGTAGGATGAGAGCAGCTGCGTTAGATGACAAAGAGAGCAGCTGCGTGACAACCTAACAAATATATTGATTCCCGGCGCTAGGGTTTTGAGGGTCATGTGATGTGTCAAGTGGCTCCTTTTTAGGGTCGGGTTTGGGCTTTTGGTTGTGTGGGTTTTGGGCTAAAACAAGAAAAACAAATGAGAGAGAAAAAGAATGCATTGTTGAACCCAGCAGAGATCCACTTCCTTTAAAAATCTACTGTAACCCAAATTATATTGAATAGGTTTTTTTTTTTTTTTGGGCCAAATTAAGAAGTCTACTTTTAACCTGAAAGTCATTCATTCAGATCACCTAATCAAATTCAATTATTGTATGTGGTCTTCGAATGAATTCGAGCCAAATTTTGACACTTGCATTCATGCAGATCTAATTTCATTTGGCAATAGACTGGAGGTTGCAAAAGCATTCTACTATCGGGTTAAACTTCTATCCATTACTTTTGTATTTATTATTTTTTAATACATTCATTGTCACCATTGATTTATGTAAGATTCATTTATGAGTTGAAAAAGCCATACTTTTGAATTGTATTAGAAAATGAATTGTGATTAACTTTATTTTAGAATGTAACGTACAAAATAATAAAAATAGAGGAAACCAAACCTTCGTTCTTAAATTACTCCAGCAGCAAATCTAATATCATTCATGATTATTTGGGATACAATGTGTTGTACAAGTAGCAATATAAGATGCACTCAACACTCTTATCAATTTACAGAGTATAAGACCCACCGTTTGTGGATGTGTATGGAGCCAAACGAAAGTGATATCACATAATCGCTTCATAATTTTGCTTCCCAAAATGATCACTCCCTAGTGGTCATGCAATGATGAAATTCAGAACCAAAAAATTAATGTGATTCAAAAAAGTTTTCATTATTATCATTATTATTATTTTTATAACACTCTGTTTAGCAAAAATTAATTTTTAGAATTTTTTTTAAAAATATATATATATTATTGAAATAATTTTTGAAATTATTTATTGTTAAAATTATTAATATTCAAGAATAATTATATTTTAATAATGATATTTAATATAAAATATTATATTAATATAAAAATACTTAAAATAAAACTATTTATTATTCTTTATATTAATAATTAAAAATATTTAAAATAATATTATTATTCTTAAAATATTATTTTATTAATATTAAAATAGTAATATCTATTATTAAAATATTTGTACTATTAAAATATGTAGATTTTATATTGAAAGTATTTATGATTAAATCATAACAAAAATATTTTTTATTTATATTTATTATTAATATAGTAATATAAATTCCTTAATAAATAAAATATAAAATTATATATTTTAAACTAAAAAATAAAAAATATTAAAAATATTCATACTAAGAAAATAATATTATTATATTATTTAACATTAATTATTAAAATAATAAAAATATTATATATGTTATTATTTATTATTAAAATAATAATATAATACTATTTATTATTGATATATTGAAAATATTTATGTTTAATAATATAAAAAATAAAATATTTAAAATTCAAATATCAAAAAACTTTTGATGTTAATATTTTAATTTTTAAATTAAAATTAAATAAAATATTTTTATTAAATAATAATATTTCAAATCAAATCAATTCAGATTCAAATTTAAAATATTATATTCAAAATTTTACTTAAGTAAAACTATAAAAATATTTAAAATTAAAATATTAAAAAACTTTTAATATTAATATTTTAATTTTAAGTAAATTAAATAAAAATATTATTGATTAATATAATAATATTTTGAATCGAATCAAATTAAATTTGATTTTTAAAAGAAACATATGCAAAATTCGATTTGAGTAAAATTATACTCAAACACATTGACAAATAATTCTATTCATAAATAATTTTTTTAAATTATTTTTTTCTTTTCAAAAGAGGAAGACAATTTTCAAAAAAATTATATCATTTTACGTTGACCAATAAATTATTTATCATTGATCATTCAGTTTTCTGTCAAATAAAAAGCTGAAAATGTGGAAATAATTTTTCAAAAGTCATTTTCTATTAAACAAACAGAACCTAAGATAAATCACTCTTGACTATATTTGTGATTACTTACATTCATGTATACAATGGGAATTCCCAAAATGAAATTGGCATATAAGCTAAATCTAGATCTTAAAAGCAATAATGAAAATGATAATACTAAAAATGGAAACATCTTCCAGTTATAAAGCTTAAGCCATCCTTGTCTAAGCTTTAACAGATACATGCCAAAAGGCCAATACCAGAAAACTCAAATTGGTTTAGTAAAAGAATTGAGGCATGGAATTCATTTTGTCACCATGATAACTTCTAAAAGTTGAAGCCTCGAGAATGTCTGTGTGGGACATTAAGAACCAGAAACAACCCATAAAATAGCTCCACAGTCTCCACTAACAAGTTATTTCATATCCACCCAAATTCCACAGGAGAAGCCACCAGACAGGCAGGCAAAAAATGGTGATGCACAGGAAGAACCACCTTGCTAAAACATATTTACACGAAAGAACCATGGCAGTACAAAGGCTATTACCAGGCATGCCATCAGGAGGTTACAGAATGGCTGTCCACACCAACATCCTGCACCTCGAGCTGATGAGCTAACACCACCACTGGTAGATCCTTGATCATGCCAATCTTCAATAAATCTGTTATCTCTAACACCGGTGATATTTTTTGCAGTTTGACCACAAATTTCGCACATTCTGCAGGGTAAATTAAACATAAGAAGGCATGTAAAGGTGAATTCCACACATTTTCTGCTTCCAAATTTTTCCTTAAGTATCAAATGTTGGTTTCATATGCGTGCAATTATAGTGCAGCAAAAGGGCTGCTTCACACTTACATATAACAGACCAAAATAAATCAAGTTGCTTCACACTTGTTAAGCAAGCAAATTTGCCGCTAACAAAATAGAAGCTTTTTACATCCATCACAAAATTTCCATCCTAACCTAGGCTATGAGTACCTAATTCATTGTGACCTAAAGAATCAATTATTGCTGATTGGAATGCCATTTGTGGAGCCAATTTAAGATTGCAACTTTATGTGAACTCTTATACCAATTCTATCACATATATGATAATAATTCACTTTGCTTAAACATGTTGAAAAACAAGAATATACAAAAAGACAAGGTACACTAGAACTTCCTATTCAAAAGTTTCAATGAGAACTAAGACTAGTTGGTTCTAAGACTAATTCCAACCACAAGTAGAGCAAAGAAAAAATTAAAATTCAAGAGTTAAGAAGACAAACCCTATGGATATCATGAATAACTTACAAAAAATGACATCGTACTAATGGCAAAGCTTAATCAAGCAATAACACAGTACATATTTTCTGCTAAGAGACCTGAGTCAGATCCTACAACTTCATTATCTAAAGAAAGAACATTACCTGTTTCCTTTCAGCTTAAACCATGCCTCAGCACAATGACTATGTGCAATTCCTAGCTCATCTTTGCACCCACAACCAAGTTGAATTAGATCCATGGCAGCTGGATTAGTTGATGTACTATCAGTAGATTCAAGTGATTGCTCTGAATTCAAATGGCAAATTCTACAAACACTTTCCCCATCCCAACTCTCGTTAAACTGTCTTCTGCCACCACCACTTCCCTTTATATCAATCACACATGAGTTCTCTGCTTCAGCAACCTTTGTCTTTGGCCTTTCCACCAATCCATTGTCCTTCACTTCTAATACCCCATTACTTCCATCCACACATGCTGCCTCTTGGGTGTTAATCACAGTAATGGTCTCGACCACAAATCCATCAACTGAATTATCCAAAATCCCACTACTCCTTTGATCAACTTGACCCAGTGTTTCACCAACTCCTCTCATCTTGTTTGTCTCCTCATTAATCAATAGCTGGCTTGCTTCAACCAACCCCATTCTTGATACCACTCCATTGTTTTTCTCTCCCAAATCCCTTTCCTCATTATCAAGCACATTTCCATCAACTAAAGTACCCAAATTCCCAGTACTTCCCAGATCATTCTGACTCAACGGCTGACCAATTCCTCTCCCATAATCCATTTCCTGATGCTTGCACGATCCAAAGCCATCATTTTGCAATCTCAAATCTGCACTTTCTTCAGAATTTTTCACAATAACAACCTCAGACACAACTCCATTAACCAAAATTTTTGAATTTCCATCAACTCCTTCCCCAAGTTGACTGAAATTATTACTACTTTCTATCCTATCACCCTTTTCCTCTCGATCCATTAATCTCTGCTAACTAAGAAAAAGCAAACGCACCTCCTCCAAAATTATCAAAAACCACGGCAATAAGCATACATATGAGAAACCATATATAACATTTTCTCCAATTTAAAACCAAAATCAGAGACTATACACAATGTGATCAACCCAAATCCTTAAATTAATCACTTATCATGCTCATACACCCCTAAAAAACCATAATCAAAAAAAAATAACACTAATAACAGTAATTAAGAGCTAATCATCTCCTACAAATAAACAAAAATCAAACCTTTGTTAACTTCCAAAACAACCCAGAATCAGATCCTTACCTACTGCAGTCGGTCAATTCAACTCCAAGCGAAATAAATAAACAAACAAAATTTTGACAACAAAAACGCTTTGTTCACTTTCACACGTCAAAAACCAAGAAACTCTAATGGAGAAAAATTATAGCTAAATGGGTTTTATTTGGCATAACAGTGGCAGGAACTTTCTCCATTAAAAAAATACAAATAAATGGTCAGAATCTATATATATATATATATATATATATATATATAGGCTTGAAGAGGGTAAAAGAGGTTCGGTGAAGAAAGAAACTTAAAAAAATAGTATAAAAATGAGTGAGAATTACTTAAATAATGACTAAAATTAATGACCAAAATAACATACCGTATCACATTAATTAGAGGGGAACAAGGATCTTTTTGGAAAGTTTTTCATTTTTGGTTTTCAGGTATTACGTAAGCAATGCTTATCTTTACGGGCGAGGCAAAAATTCGGACTCTTGGAATTTTTTTTTTTAATATGTAAAAGAAAACAAAGCGTTTTGAATGGGTAAGCGTTGAACTTTGAAGTGAAGTTAATTTTCTTTGGCGTAACTCAAGGAACTTACGGAAAGGGTGTGGGATTAGAGTTGGATTAATCATATTGGATCCATGGACTTTCTCTTTTCGGGTTTGGATGATCAAATTTAATTATAATATATTAATAAATTATATAAAAATAAAAAAATTTTAAAAACATATATACAAATGGACAATTTTTTTTATTTTAAACGACACGAGTACTCTTAAATGATTGCTTTTCAAAATATATATCCAACATAAAGTAAATAAGTTCATATGAAATTTTGCATAAAAATATAATTTTTTAAAATGTTATACAAAATTTCAAATATAGATAATATTAAAAAAAATAATAATAAATTGATGGAAGGTAGAATGTTAAGTCAATTCATATAAGCCAATCAAACATATTATATAATTATTTGGGGGAAAACGTTAATAAATTGATATGGAATAGAAAAAAAAATACAAAATACAAATGCAAAATAGTAATAAAATTTATGATTGATCAGGTAAAAATTATAAAAGTTTTGAAAAATATATTTTGAGTCGATTCAAGAACCTAACATTTATAATTTAAGTTATGAACAAAATGATAAAGAAATTTAATGATAAAATTTAATGAGATATAATGGGAACGGAAAAAACATATTGAATTAAATAAAAAATTTTAATTTGGTTTGAAAACAAATTAATATTTTAAAAAAAGTTAAGAGTAGTATTTTCAGTAAATTATCATGATTTGAAAAGAAATTAATTTTGCATACACATTTAATATTTTTAAAAAACAAACAATCAACAAAGACAAGAACAATAAATATTAAAAAGAAAATTAATGTAATTAATTCAAAAAAATTTAAATGTTTTGACATCAATTTGCCTTTAGCAGTAAATTTTTGTATAATTGTATGGATTAAAATATAAAAATTAAAACATCTATGAAATTATCAAAATTAAATAGAAATAATGATAAAAGTTTTAGTTTTGTTGGTTGTAAAATTATATGTATCAAGTTGAGTTGAAGAGATAAAAAACATATATATGAATTAATGTTATTGTGACTTTTTTCTCTTAGCTTAGTGATTAAGAGATCAATTAAAAATCATGCAAGACATGAATTCTATCTCGTTATCCCTTTTCCTTCATTGTAAAGACATTAACCCTCTTTTACAACCAAAAAAAAAAAAAAAATTTGTATATCACTTGTCTGTATTTTTAATTACATGTTTTAATCATAAAAAAAAAATTACATAACATAAAACAATTAATATTTAAAATAAAACACAATGATGCAAATCAACTACAGTTCACAAAACAAAAAGAAAAAATCCAATAAAATATAAAAGGAAATATAACATTATATTTGTAACACAAAAATTATTTTTAAAAAAATCAATCAAGTAGTTTTTGACCGATACTCTAAGTTTGACAAAAATACCATTTAAGAGCACATTGGTATTGGTAATTTTACTGTAGTTATTGAGTCTTCCTTTTATACTCTCCTATTCAGCTTAAAAATTTTTTGTGCATAATGAGTCTTCATCTAATACCATTGCTAGAAAAGATTCATCTAATTACAAAGAATTATAGTAAGAATCAAATCTAACCACAAAGAATAAGTAAATCCCTGTCCAATATAAATAATTACTCCTTTGACCTTTAGGATACCTGCAATTTTAATAGCAATTATCTATATACTTAGGCTAAAACCACTCATTTATAAAATCAAATTGCTATAGATTTTTATATGAAATTCATATTGTATTTCATACATATAAAAAGTAATATATTAATCAAATTATTAAGAGTATCCAAAAAGTAATACAACATGACTCCAAAAAATATTAAGCAAATAAAATATTAGACCAATATTATATATCTATATACAAAAAAATATATACATACATAGACGATAATCATAATATTATTTGAATATGCAACAACGAAAAAAAAAAAAAAAAGGATTCTAAAAGTTTTTGGTACAAACTCAAACCTAAATCAACATCCCACTTATAGCTGTGATTGATAAACAAATTAATTATAAAAATGTTAAATTGTTGAAATTTAAATAAAAAATTGACCATAAATTAAAAGTAGAATTATTTATTAAAGGCAATAATAATAGATTGTATAAAATAATCCTATCACATGATTTATATTGATATAAAATAAAGCATGATTGCAGACAACTTAAAATTTATATTAAAGTCTTTTGGTGAATATAAAATGAAAATATTGTTCATTAATATAATTTAAGTTAAAATTTTAATCATAAAAAATTATAAAATATCACATAAATGTAAAAAGGTAAATAATTAAATTGAAATTTTAAAAAATATAATCAGTTATTAAAATATTTTTTAATTTAAATAAAATTAAATTAAGATATTTAATCCATATTGAATAATTTTTTTTATCAAAGATTTTGATTTTTATATATTTACATAAGATTATTATTATTTGATTCTAAAATTGATAAATATATTTTTAATGGGAGAATATTGCACCTAGATCATTATTATTAGCATAATAGCATATCTATAACATATTTAAAGCTGTAGACAACTCAACAATGTAAAACAAAATGATCCGGAGGTCATTTTTGTCTTTCACTTTTCCAGAAGTTTCTTACTTTGAAACGAGCATTACCTGTTCCATTTCTTTCTTCAAATCCCTCTCACTCCCAAGTAAAACCAAAGAATCGATTACCGCAATCTTAATGGCAGATCCAAAAACGGTGACGAAACCTCCCGGACAAAGGCTTCGGCCAAGGACCCCAAGAAGAAGGACGAGAAAGAGGAGGATTTGGTGAGTTGTCGTTCAAGAAAAGTGAACGATTTTTTAAATAATTTTTAATGCTTTTTTCTGTTCTGATGTTATAGAATTGATATTTTATTTGAGATTTCAATCCATTTTTTAAAAAAATTTTGCTTTGTTCATCCAGATACTTTTGAACTTACATGTATCAAACCTTGGAAAGTGCAAACCTCGACGAGCTCTTTGAACATATTCGAAGGAACCAAGATTCGTTTCCAAGATGTCGACTGCAAGGAAGCCACCACCGACAGCTCCAATCTCAACGATTCAATCGTCGCCGTTGAAAAAGCTATCGAAGATGTCTACATGGGAGAACCCGACATCTTCTTTGTTGATTGCGACTACGATGATGATAAAACCAGTGCTGATTATTACTTTGATTCAGACTCTCACTTCGGTATATTTTCTTTTTCCTCATTTTCTTTAAGATTAAGTTTTTTAATCCTTTTTTGTTCTTCTTTTTCTACCTAGAAATTCAAAATTTTGTTTACATACAGTGCTGGTTCTTTTTTGTTGTTTGTTTGCTGGGAAAAGAGAAGATAGAGATGGTGTGTGTTGGGTTGTTAAAAGGTCTTTATTAAGCAAGCAAATAGGTTTTGCGAGGTGGGGGATGGTATGTGTTGGGTTGTTACTGGTTTTGACTGTGCCGTTTTCTGCTGGAATGACTGACCCTCGTGATCGTAAAGTATCTTACCTAAAGGTTACATCACTTTTTTTTTTTTTTCAATTTGGTTAGTGTTGAATGATGTTGATGCTGTGTTTGGGTGTGGGAAAAGTTTGAGGAAAGGAACAGAAAATAATAGAAATGTGGAAGATGGTGGTTGTAAATTTATGTTCCATTAATGTTCAAAGTTCTTTTTTTGTTTAGCCCCATTTTTAGTTAGACATATGCATTTTCTGAGCTGTTTCAACTTTCAAGTTCTGATAGAATTGCTGAGCTGATATGATAGTTTTTGCAAGGTTGAGTTTGGATCTACTTTACTTATCCTGGCTACAGTCATTGCAGTTGTTAATTTCAGTCATTGGGTTCAAGCAAATGTCTTTAGAGCATAGTTTTGTTGTGTTTTAAACTTGTCCAAGTTTTAATTTAAATGTTGGAAATTGGAAGTTTCTCAAAGCCAGTCATGGGAAGCCATTAGTAATTGTTTGTTTTTTTTCTGTATGTCCTTCAATTTCAGTAATAAATAGCTTATATACTTCTCTGGTTTCCCCACCTCTCCTTGGGTGGATTCTTGTTGGAAGAGATCCATGTGGGGAAGAATGGCAGGGTGTTTCATATGTCTTCTCGAATATTACAAAACTGTACATGGATTTTCTTTCCTTTTTGTAGATTTCCTTATCTTCATCAATAAATTTTGTATCAATGTTTGTTGAGCTTATTGCATTCAGACAACTAAATGGCTTGAATTTGGGAGGAGTCTTGGATGAAGGCATTAGAGGCTTTGAATCAATAAATTTATTTATACACAATGAGTGAATGAGTGAATGAACTAAAATAATATATGATGGGTGGTGGGTAGATGCCAAAATTTACGTTGTCGAGCCGTCTCTTCACATGCTTATGTTCAAAGGTAAACTAAAATATTTATATATGTAGCCGTCGAAATACCAACACAATGCACTTGAAAATTTGGATTTGAAAAGATATAAGGCTGGGAATTTAATTTTGACAAATAAATTATCATATTTGCACTCAGTTTTATGAATTCATTGAATATTTATCAGTTCTGATGGTTTAGTTTTCTTAACTATTTGTTGATCTGCTTTTGACAGTCTTGATCAACTATCCTCAAATTTATAGAGAGAAAAATGGAAGAGAGGACAAGGAAAATGAATGAGGGAAAAGAAAATTCAGAGGAAGATGATCTTCTTGAATGGGTTTTGAAGCATTCAAATCTTTCGACAGAGCAAATCCTTAACTTGATTCTGAGCTTGCTCTTTGCTGGACATGAAACTTCATCAGTAGCCATAGCTCTAGCCATCTACTTCTTACTAGGTTGTCCTGTAGCTATTCAACAGTTGAGAGTAAGCTAATCTAACAATGCAAGCTTTCCTATTCTTTTATAATTCAATTGCTATTATAATTTTAAACATAGGAAGAACACCTTGAAATGGCCAGAACCAAGAATCAATTCAATTACCCAATATCTATCAATCTCTTTACTTGTCGACAGCAGAGAAATCTAGATATTTACTATGCTCCTTTCGTTTTTCTGGGCTCATGTGGTTACAGGGTTTCCAGTTGGCTCAAAGCCTCTAAGGTTTGTTTTTCATGTCTTCTGCCTCTATTTCTTACTTGTGATCTTTCTTGGGGGATTTAATTGTATTGCATGTGTTCATTTAGTGCAATCAGGTGTTTATTTGTTATGTGAAGGATGATTGAGTCTTTGATAGCTTTTGCCGACTGTAATTTTTGGTACTTCTTTTGGTCAATTTTAATGGGCATTATTTTTTGGTGGCAAAGTTGAATACAATCTAGACAGTGATTTGTTGGATGAAAAGTTCATGCTGAAAGGAAAATGGTACCAAAGAAAGAATATAGAGGTACAGTTTTTAGATTATGAATATTATGTTTAAACAATATCTACTTTATTATTATGCAGCTTGAAGCATAGCGTGGGTCTGCAAACTAGTAACATTAAAACTCAATCGTTGAATTGAACAGATTTCATATATTTTCAAAGATTATGAAAACTTAAAATAATAAACAATTTTTTTTTTTATATAAAACGTATTAATAATTTATTTTCACTTATTACTCGACACATAAAACATTTTTGTTACTAAGTAATGCATAAATCAATTCAAGACTATCAAGCTCTAACTTCAAATATTATTTTTTAATAAATTCATAAATTTTTTTTATTTTTATAGTTAATATATACCTATATAATTTTATTAAATGGGTGTTGAGATGTACCTCAAAAATAATAAAACTAGCAATCGGGGCTCGGCATCTCTCAGTTTCTTATATTAATTTATAGTATTTTATTAAATTAATATTTGATTGATTTAGAAGTTAGAATAATATATGTAATTAACATAAAGTATTAATTTAAGAGAAAGTTAAAAACTTTCTTAAAGCAGCTGTAAAATCAGGCAAAAAATGTTGATTGTTCATTTTCAGGCCATAAAATTGCCAAAAAGAAACAGTTGCTGAAAAAAAAAAAAAAGACTATAGACTGTTGTATGAAGTCTAAGTAGAACTCTTTTAATCATGGTCAGAATAGATAAATACTTCAAAAGTATTGTGTGTTATAACGTTTAAGTTGAAAACTCATTTATTAGACACGAAAATATGAAGTTGTCATTAATTTTTTTTATTTAGATATAATTGATCACCTATGTGAATTTATATTATTTAAAGTTATTTTAAGTTTAAGCCTAAGTTAAAGGTTCTTAAAAAGAATAGGTTCTGGTATATATTATCAGAATTACGATTAGAGAGTCGATTATGTGTAGGAAATGTATTAGCATTTTTTATGCCCAAAATTGATATCAAATTAATTATGTGTTATCTTATTTAAGACTTATCAAAAATAGTTTTATCATGTAAGATAATCAATTTCAATCTTTTTATTTATTTACAACACATGGTAATACAAAATTCTATAAAAAAAATCAAGTAATCATGCAATCATACAATAAATATTAAATCATAACATATAAAAATTATCATGCAAATATATTATAAATTATATCAAATATCATATAATAATATCATGCGTAGTTTATGTTAAAATATTCATACAAGAATGTAATGCAAATATATTAATTATCATGCAATAATAATAATAATCATGTAAATATATAATATCAAGCAAATATACTAATAATTATGTAATTAAATATAATAATGTAATTATACATACAATAAATATAAAAACATGCAATTAGGTATTATTCAAATATAATATTAATAATGCAACAACATATAATATCATATCATGCAATAAATATAAAATCATGCAATAATATTAATAAATAAATAACCATGTAAATAAATATATTAATAATCATAAAATTACACAAATAAATAAATTAATAATCGTGCAAATAAACATGTAATTAAATATATAATCATGCAATTAATAATTTAAAACATATAATTAAATATATAATCATGCAAATAATAATATAAATCATGTAAATAAGCATGCAATTAAATATATAATAATAATCATGCAAATAAAAATAAATAAATCATGCAAATAAATATACAATTAAATATATAATCATGTAAATAAACATGTAATTAAATATATAATCATGCAATCATGTAAATAATAATATATAAACCATTCAAATAAATATGTAATTAAATATATAATCATGCAAATAAATATATTAATAATCAAGCAATTAAATTTATTAATAATTATGTAATCAAATTAAATATAATCATACAATAAATATATTAATAAATTACACAAATAAATATATTAATAATGCAAACAAATATGTTAGGCAAATAAATTATCACGTAAATATAATATTAGTAATGTAAATTCATGCAAAAATAAATACCATGTAATAAATATAAAAATAAGAGTCAACAATTAAATATTATAAAAATTATGCAAAAAATCACAAAAAAAAAGCAAACATTACCTCAATAGATCACGATTCCAACAAATTTTCACTTTTTAAAAACTGATGCTTCCTATTATAAATTTTAACCTTTTTTTTTCAAAAACTTTAACTGGATCTTCTTGCAATTTTTTTTTCTTGATTGTTTTTTCCTTGTTGATTCAAAAGTTTACCCAAATTTTTTATTTTTTCAATGACCTTTGTTTGATCTTGATATCTATTGCTGTGAGGCCTTTCCTTTGATCACAAATTCAAAATCCTTATATAGGGCTTGAATCCTTTCAATTCAAAAGAAATTAATTCAACTGAATCTAAAATTTATTTTCAAATTTTATTATTGTATAATCCTCTATTTTTTAATAGATTGAGCTCTAAGTCTTTTTAAAATTATTCAACCATTAAAGTTAAATTTTGAAATAAAATTCAAGAGTTGAATTGAATTCAAGATTTTTTATGCAAAATCTCACATTTTTTCTTTTTTATTTTTACCATTTTTAATTTATTTTTATCAATTGACTTTGACGCTCTTGACTAAAAAAATAAAAATTAAATAAAAAATTAAACTAAAAAAATTAAAATACAAATAAAATTTAAAGCTTAATATTTAGGCTCAAAATTCAAATTTTCAGTTACGATCCAATTGCACAATCAAAATTAAAATTCGAAATCCAATGAATTTTAATAAATTGTTAGACAAAATGAAGTGTTTATAGTGTACTATCATAGCAAATAGACAAGAGACATCAATCTTTAAGTGATTATCGTTAACGAATCTTTTTCATCCTCATGAAAATGATTTGTTCCTGGCATTGTACCATATAATCAAAGATTTATTTTCTTCTTCAAGAACAAATAGAGTGATAAAAGAATGATGGTCTGGGATATGTTTATAGAAATAACTCGGAATATGCTGCAAAAGCAATACAATAAAGAATTATTAATAAAAATTTTGAATGTGTTTTGTTTTATTTTTTATGATTGAAACTATATGATAATATATGGTAATAGTAATTGTTTACTAAGTTGCAATAAATATTCACATTCGTGCTAGCCATTAAGCAATGGAAAATAGGAATATCACAATAACCATCATTTTCATCTCTTGCACAGTGAGATTCAGTATTGTAAGTTCAATTAGAGGTTGTGAAATTTTATATAATTTTGTTTAATTGAAATGGTGCAAAATATAATAAGTATATGTGAAATGAAAATACTACTTTGTGGTCCTTCCAGTTTATTTGATCTTACAATGGTAGGTGATTTAATATGCAAAAAAAGTTTTGAAGTTCATGTAATTGTTGCATGTTAAAGCTAATGTATCTTGGTATTTAAAATAATGTGCTCGAACAAATTCTTTCCATCCATTTTGCAAGTATAATTGATCATTCACGCTTTTTGTCATAAAAGTAAAATAAAGTTATATGCCTGTAATTTAGTTGTAAAAATAAAATAAAATAATGTATTAATAATTTAATATTGAACAATGTATAAGAGAAATCATATGTTATTTTATCTTTTTGTAACAAAAGATAACTAATATTCAATAAAGATAATTAAGGATTGAATGTATAAAAGATAACTATTACTCAACAAAGATAATCTACTTAAAAAATTGATTATTATATCTCTTTGTAAATTGTTAGTTCTGGTGCAGATTTTGATATGTCTACAACATAATTTGTGGGAACAACCTCAATTACCTGACATTAATACATAAATTGGTGAAACTTTTTTATATTTTATCTTATAGGAAGAGCATCTTATTATTAATTATTTCAACATATTATATTCAATATTCATAACTTAAAATTCTTAAATTTATAAAATATTAAATTATTTTTTTGTTGTAAAAGATGTTAAATTTTGCTAGATACATTTTTATTGATTTTAATAAATTTATTTATATTAAATTAATTAAATTAATGAATTTATAAAAAAAATTTGAAAATTAATGAAACTAAGAATATAATGACAAAAATAAATTACAATGATAAAGTTGAATATTAAATCATAGTGCACTGACAAATTTTATTTTAATCTCACTAGCAAATTATCTTAATCCATAAGAAAAATTACATAAAATTATCACTTAATTTGAATATTAAAAATTCTTATCTAAAGAATAACAGAATCCATTTTTCTCTTGAGATTTTCCTTTTTTTTATCATTAATAATCAATTATCAAACATACACATGGATAAAAGAAGAAAGTATTGATAAACATCATTAAAAAAAAAACTTACATAAAAAAGTTTGTATTACAATTTATATATTTGAGAAAATAAATAAAAATTGTTCATGTCCTTTTGAAGATTTTTCACATCTCTTAAGGTTTCAATATAATCAAGTTCACTGTTGGAGATGGCTTAAGAATTTAATTACTAAAATTCAACATGATGTGAGCTATAGGGGGATTTGAGATTTATGTCATTTGGTTCAAGATCATCAATTGAATGACACTGCTTATAGTGATTTGTGACAAACTGGTAAGTCATTGCCAATGCCAATACTAGCATTAAAAGACATAAAACAATTTAGTTTAAGATTTCTGATGATAGCAATTATATTTTATCATCTACCAGACGTTACAACCGACATTGACATGACAAAAAAATGGATAAAGGCCATGGAGTCGGGGGCTTACAATGTGATCATGGTCAAGAGGAGCATAAATGCCAATGCTAACTGTGATTTTTCTTAGAGTACCATTTAAAGGTGGATTAGATGTGTTCTTAAACCCAATTAGAACAACAATTACAAGCAAACCTACAAGATTTCCCATACAAACTTGCTCCTAATCAATTGCATTTCCAATTAATGCATTAATAGTAAAACTTTCTTATACCTTTTAGATTAACTTTCCCAAAGCTCTTTGTGTTTGTGAACATACTTACAAATAATTAATATATAGAAACAAGCCCATAAGAAATGGTGACCTCTTTCTAGTTTTTGCCTAGGTAGTTCTTATTTATTTTTGTTCTGAATTTCCATGTTTTGAAACTCAAAATTGAAAGTAAAAGAAGTTTGTGTCTTTCAATAGCTCATAGTAACATGTGTTCAAAAGCTATATGAATTCATTCAACTATAATATCAATCAATA